TTTCACATGTTCTTGAGATGGTAATAATAAGTCATGACCGTTAGATGGAACTAATATTTAAAACAAACTCAGTGCCCTCACTGGTAACAACGCCAGCCAGCGCCAGAACGAAATGATGCTCATGCGAGTTGTAACTCTGTTGTGGCTTTGCATCGTCATCCAGAAACTTGATGAACGACTCCAAGGTTTGACCTGCTATGCTCAGGAAGGGCTCCAGTTTACCCTGTGGACACACGTGTATACAGAGTAAACCTACTCGGTTGAGGTAAAACAAATGTATCATCTTTTTTTTTTTTTTTTTAACAACCAAGGTTTCACTTAAACTGGAAGTCACCACTTAATAGTGTCCACTCTCAAAATGGTACAAACTTACATCAGCCAATATGTCTTTGACCGCTTCCTCCCTTTGAGATGCACTCCAGAGCAGGGTGCAAGACGCAGAGCCCAGCTCAGTGCAAAAGTCTTTCTGTTGCTGCAGCTGCTCTCTGCACTCCCATAACTGCTGCTTTAGAACCAGCTTCTCCTACAAATGTAGGAGATACTTACATAACAACCTTCTTGACTCCTAGGCCCTTCATTGTCAAAGATAATAATCAAAGGTTCCCAAAATATTTCTGGTACATTTTTAAACTTTTGGCAATATATAACAAATTAATATATTAAAATGTGTATATTAATATGATTAAAAAGAATGAATAAAGATAAGATATTTTAGAGCGTGACATGCATATTGGTTAGGGTTTCCAATTCCAATTGTTCATATAAAATAATATTTTAGAGCCTGACATGCATATTGGTTAGGGTTTCCAATTCCAGTTGTTCATATAAAATATTTTTTTTGTTTAAACTTATTTTAAAGCTTATTTTGTCTTATTTTAGATAATTTGAGCAGATGCTTTTTTTAGAATCTTCCTATAAATCATGATGTTTCTTTTCAGTGTGGTCTCATCCTTAGTTTTCTTTACTCCTCTATTTTGGTACCTGTTTCTCTCTTTGACAGTCGCTCAGTGCAGCATCTAGTCTGGAATGGATGTGCAGACAATCGTCTCTCTGTTGCTGCTGCTCACGTTCACTGCGTTCTTTAACTATATAACAATCAAGAATTTTTTAATAAGTCAACAGTCAGAATTAACAGATTAAGATTCACCATTTAGTATTGTTACAAATGCTGTTAAACTGGGTTGTGCACCATTCAGAACCGAATTGAGACGGTCTTTTAAATTTTGGTTCAGTTTCAGAATTTGTCCTGAATTTAAATTGATCTAGGGAACAGGATGCTAAATTGCTATTTGAATGTAAGTAGTAGAAATGAATGGAATAACTGGAACTGTTAACTAGAAGAGTTAAAAATTAGAAGAGTTTGCCTTTGCAAAGACAAACTTTGATTGTTGGGCTTTAAGCTATGTTTTGAACAAGCTATATTGAACAAGTGACAAATATTGTATAAGTACTGTAACTTTTGAAAACCATTGACCTTATTCACAGCAGCGTTGTTAACGGGAATGAAAGTGATACTGTGAGGGATTTTCAGTGGATTGTACTGTCATTTAATGTGTTTTTGGATTGTTCTGCTGACAAAATGTCAGTAGACAAAAAGAAAAAAATCCAGACAACATGATATGTGGAAAATTATAAGAGATCTAGGAGCTTTTTACAGCGGATGCCATTGAAAACAGCCTAGCTTTCGTACATGTCATGGCACTGCTCTGAATGAGGTCTATAGTGGAAAAATGCTTTATTTTTACAGAATGCATTAACCGGGTTGGTTTCTTTTAAATTGCAGTAGATTCCCCTTCCTGTTATTCCAATTCAAATTTCAATTCAACTTCCTGTGAGGTATGGCCAGTTTAATTCAAATTCCGGCTCCTGAATTAAAATCTTCAGTTCAGCTTTATATACTATCGATGTCTGTAGCATGTACAAAGCACATATTGTTTTCATATTAGTCCATATTCTTTTGTGTCATAACTGTGCGCTATTAACTTACTATAAAATAGTTTTTTTTTGCTTACATGCGTCCAGAGACCGTCCTTTATGGATAGTATCAATAAAGTCACTATTGATTACTTTTGGCAGAAACTCTCGTAGTGTTCTGACTTCTGCCTCCAGTTTCTCCAAGTCTCGCTTTCTGACTCGAACGAAGCAATCTGATCCCACATCCTTTAAACACACAGGATAATTTTTGTTTACTGTTAGATGTAACGTTAGACAAACGTTACAGTGTACGTCTGACATTGGACAGGGCCATCTGCTGTACGGTACAAAATTAGTGATGTGTCGTTCATGAACGATTCGTTCATTTTGAACGAATCTTTAATATGACTCGGGACTACCGAGTTGTCTCAGAGAGTGATTCGTTCATTTTGTGTTGATCGCGCATGCGCATTGCGCAACAGATGGTTTCTGAATCTGTACTGGAAATGATTAGTTCATCTCTCTCGAGTTCGGGTTCGGGCCGGGTCCGAGTCTTTCGTTCTTCCTGTCAGTCCCATAGAGGCTATGCTGTCAGTACCGGAAAGAGTAATGATTAGTTCATCTTTCGAGTCTCGAGTTCGGGTTCGGCCGGGTCCGAGTCTTTCGTTCTTCCTGTCAGTCCCATAGAGGCTATGCTGTCAGTACCGGAAAGAGTAATGATTAGTTCATCTTTCGAGTCTCGAGTTCGGGTTCGGCCGGGTCCGAGTCTTTCGTTCTTCCTGTCAGTCCCATAGAGGCTATGCTGTCAGTACCGGAAAGAGTAATGATTAGTTCATCTTCTGAGTCTTCGGGTTTGAGTCCTTCGTTCTTTTGTCACGTGACTTGTCACCGTATTGAATAGCCTACTAATTCACAACCTTTTTACAAACAAGCACGTAGTTAATGTATAATATAATAGTAGTTAATTAATGTATAATATATAATAAAACACACCACAGATGCACAAGAAACATTTAAAGAAACGGACAGGGACAATAATAAGATGGAACTTTTATTTTTCAGATAATGTTTATTTCACATATTTTGTATTTTAATTCCTAAATATAAAACAATATACATTCAGACGCAGTCAATAATACGAATCTAATATTGTATTTGATGCGAGATACCAGCGGTCACGTGACAAAAGAACGAAGGACTCAAACCCGAAGACTCGAAGAAAATGAACTAATCATTACTCTTTCCGGTACTGACAGCATAGCCTCTATGGGACTGACAGGAAGAACGAAAGACTCGGACCCGGCCGAACCCGAACTCGAGACTCGAAAGATGAACTAATCATTACTCTTTCCGGCCCTGCTGTATCACACACGGCACGGCCCAGCAGACAGATCAGAGTCAGACACTGACGAGTCGACAACTAACGTTTTGAGACACAAAAGGAGGAGAACAAACCTGATAAATATGAAGTTGCAAAGGAAAGAACGTCTCGGATGAGGAGGTGAGGTGAACTAACAGAATCAGACTGCAATAGCCTGAACTTAAAACCCAACAACTAATCAATTCATAAAAATTTCGGTTTCTTATAATTTGGCTTTGGCTGCATTACCCTATAATTTATTTTTATTCTTTTTACAAAATTTGTAATCAACATTTTCGTAAGTTCTAGATGTGTTGGGATATTTAACATGCCATTTTAATTATATTATGCTGAAATGAACGAAATGAACGAAATGACTCGAAAAAAGATTCGTTCATTTTGCTGAACGAGACTCAAAGATCCGAGTCAGTAAAATGATCCGAACTTCCCACTACTATACAAAATCCCCCCTGAAGTGTTGAGTATTATTGAACGTGTGTTAGTGGTGGAACAATGACATCTTGTGGTAATGCTGGTGGTTGCGTTAGTCTTGATACAACTATCCTAGTTTAAAACGTCGTTATAACTGAGAATTGGTCTTGGAAAACGATTAAAATGCTTTTGTGGTGACAAAGTCTATTTGAAAAGTCTTGATATGGTTAAAGCGGTATAGAAACATCAAACAAACATTTAAATGAGCTTACTAGCTTGCTAAACACGAAACACTTTCATCCACTTAACTGAACTAATTTCTCAACAACAAACTTGAACTGGTAAAAATGGTAAAGTTACCTCTCCTGCAGATGACAGAGACGAAACATTAGCTGTATTGGTTTTTTTCATTTCAAAAAGTGCACATTTGATAAAGACCTCTGGATTTGGACGAAAGACCTCTGACCTATTAAAATGTTTAAACGATGTCTTTAGCGCCCTCCACTGTTCGGCGCAAAACAAGTCATCTCCCTGCTGTGGCTGTCACCCATCCCCCAAACCGAGAACAGACATGGGCGCCTCCGGGAAGTTTTTGTGGATTGCCAGAGGGGCAGAGTAAAAATTGGTCACCGTGATTTTGCCAAGTAAGACATGTTCCTGGATCAACATATTTTGAACAACATTCCCGATTTCCCGTCCAAGAATATCCTTCGTTCGTTCTAACACTCCCCACCCCTGAACCTATCCCTTAAGTTATCCCTAAAATCAAAGGGAAATGACAGGTGACTAATGCTAATGTAAAAGCACCTAAACCTGGTTATAAGCCTAAACTTGTTGATCCAGGAAAACGTTGTACTTGGTGAAAACAAAAAGGTGAACGTGATTAATCATAGATCGGACCTGTAACGGTTACTTCAAGGATTTATTCATATACTCAGATTCAATTATATTTTGACTTGCATGAAACCAGTTACTTTAGATGTTGCCACATATAAAGCACTATTCAGTTTACATTTAGACCACCGCATTATTATATTAATTTTAATAATTATTACCGCCATGCATATGATTGTTCTTCTGTCTATGTGTGAAACGCGTATTTTGGTTTCAAACCAATATCCTGAACACGCCTGGCGAGAATCCATGACGGGTTTTTCTATACGTCATTACGTTGTCTGGCGCCTGGGTCAACCTCTGGGGTAAACCTGATCCCCAGCCCCAGAAGAACTCCAGCACGGGATTTTCAAACAGCTACTCAAGATACTTTTTGAGAGAGTGAGCGCCGTTCACTCGCAGTTCAGTCTCACTGCCTCCTTTGTGTGTGTGTGGTGTAGACGGTGCTGCTTTCTGAGCACAGCGCCTTGCTCACCCCTAGGGCGTTCATAAGCCAAATAATTCGGGTTTTCCGCGTCACAGCAGAACTGCTGGAGCATGTCTGTAGAGCTGGAGCCCGGTTTCTCCAACGACGAGGTGCTGAACATACGTTACCCGCTTCACCGCGCATGCAGGGATGGAGACGTCGGCGTTCTGTGCTCTTTGCTTCAGCGCTCCGCCAACCAGGCGGACCTGGTTGCCGAAGACTCGTTTTACGGCTGGACCCCCATTCATTGGGCAGCACACTTCGGGAAGGTAACATAAAAACATTAATCTCATAGATGTATGTTTTCTAATGCATTTCTTTTCCAAGTAACGTTACAGTGGCTTCCGGAGACGCGATGATTTTAGGGAATAACGTGGGTTTAACATCATTGGTCAGGCGTGCTGTCATCAAGAACTGAACCACAACATGTGCATACAAACAAAACTCAGTTATGTTAACAAATCTCATCAATAAGAAATGGGTTGCCGTTGCCGTATATTGTATGGACAATAAGGCCATCGGCAGAAAACAGGTCATATTCGCAGCGGCTGCGTGCAAACTCGCATGCTGGGTATGAGCAGAGATTAATCACTTAATACATGTTTGAACTGCGAGTGAGAGCATTATGATTTATATCTGAGATGAAGCAGACTACAGCGTCAGTGGCAGTGTTGTCTATCTAAAGTGCGTAACGAGTATGTTGTTACGGATAAACCTGGCTAGTTATGTCGAATAGAAGAAATCAAGCCGAGTATAGACATTACTGGTTGTTTCTTTGTTTCTGGATCACATTACTTGGACAAATCAACTTGCATGGACAGTAGCCAGCCTAAGCCAGGAAGGCTGCAACATCAGGCGCCAGGACGCACAGGCGCGAGCTCACTGATTCATTCATTGGCTGAGCGAAGACCAATAAAACACCACGCGCCAAAAACGCGAATTTAAAATCAAAACCTTTTTTTTTTTCTATTGTTGTCCATTTTTTTAATGGATTTATTTATTTTATTTTTAAGAGTTCTATGCCATGCGTTTTAATTCATGATTTAATTCTTTTAAAAAATGATTATTAAGCCTGCACAATAAACGTCAGTAATTTGTCACTCGCTGATTTTTTTTTACGATGTTATGTTATTATGCCTAAATAGTCTAGTTTACAAATACAAACCACAGTGACTTAAATTATACAAATTCACTGCAGAGTGGAAGTGTTTACTGACACTGTTGACAACCTCTTATGCCCCTTGTTAAATAGTTAACATTTTATGATAATATTGATTTCAGTTTGCATGATCTTAGGCCAATGATGTGATGTAACATGAGATTATAGACAGTTTTGTTATAGTGCAGAAGGCTTTTGCTTATGTGTTGTTGAAAATGTCTACAATTAATACTGATGTTATTTCAAATACATCACCTCATTATTTTTCAAAGCCAACATTCATTATGGAAAAAAGGAAAAGCCTTAGTGGTGTGTAACTATTTTTAGCATTATTCCTGATGGAAGTTTCCACAGAAACCCTCTGAGCAAAGAACCAGTCCTGTAAAATGTGCCGTGTTTTCCACACTTCAACACTGGCTCAAATTCCTCAGCTTTAGTACAATTCTAGTTTTTTTTTTTTTTTTTTTTGATGACCATTCTACACTTCTGTACACCTGAGAGTTTTTTACTATTCTTCGTATTTTACCAGTGATGTGTTGCCATACATTTTAGCCGCTTTATCCTCTCCCTCCTCCTTTTTTCTAAGTTCCCAAATATTAGATGAGGAGCGGAGTGTAAGTGTTTCTGCTCCTAGCATCTGCTGATTTTGCACATTTCACAGATGTTTTGGCCATGAAGCAGTTTCAAACTGCCAACAGAGGTGGTAGGACTTGAAAATGTTTAAAGGATTTACTCCACAATTTTACCATGTGTTGGAGAGTTTGATTAATGTCAAGAAGGGAGAACAGCCAGAGAACAGGGTAATAAGTTGCCCCATTGTAAATTATGTTGTCTTGTAGTGTAATAGATGGGCATCAACTGATAAAAGATAAAGCAGTCTTTTACAGCGTGAGTTCGCCCTTTACATTTCTCTCCCAATCTCATACAGAATGCAGAAAAGGAAACATACAGGTGATACATTTACAAAGAATTAACTTTGTGAATGACACACAATGTGAATTCGCCCTTTACATTTCTGTGAAATAAATGTTATTAGCAATGCAATAACTTAAACTAAGCAAAACCTTAATGTAATAATACACATAATACACACTTTTCCCATACAGACACAATGCAAAAAGAGAAAAGGACCAAAGATAGGAAATTATCAAGATTTATGCAGTCAGAAAATGAAAGGGAAAGATGCACACATATGCAGAGTCAGACAAGCATATCAGGTACATTTGAACATTTTGTGTTATTTTTAATATACGATTACGTGTAGGCTATAATAAAGTAAACTTCCCTTACACCATGGTGTACCATGTTGAAATTGCAACACAGCTGCTGGTCTCTGACAGCAGAGCAGAGAACATGAGCTTCAAATACCTAGTCAGAGAGATCAGGAGTCAGTCTGGCTCAAACCATTTTTTTTTCTGAAGCCCTATTCACACGGGACTAGTTTTCATGGAGGGCGTTAGAGAAATTTGTGTTTCACAGGCGTACTTTGAGTTTGATCCTGTCCGACCCTGCCATGTCTATGCTTTTCTCACAAAACCTCAGTAAAAATTCCAGGGCAAATTACCTAGTGTTTTCGGCAAACTCAACGGTCCTCTGAGAAATCTAACCCCGTCCGCATGTGAATGTCTGTGATTGCCGATATTGTATTATACTAAGGCTTCTCCTCGTGTGTGTGGTTTGAACTATCTGAGCTACCGTTTGAACACCAATCTTTCGCATAATTTAATTTAATTTCAATATGGATGGTATCCGACGAAAAAGTAGAATCATAAAATTAATAAATACAACCAAATCGTGGAAACTACGAAGACTGCCCATGTTAATATCAGTGTCAGGTAAGATACTTGTCTAGATGTCTCTGCTTACTCGTGTGTTTATTATAAACAGACACTTCTAAAAAAGATGAGAATATTTAACCACTGTGAAGTCTGATGATATAAACTGCAGCTTGAGCTAAAGGCTCACTCCTTATCTCATAAAATGTTCTGGAACTATTGATGGTCATGTGTTGACAAGCATGGTGCAAAGTCATTTCAATGGTTTGTTGATTTTATTTTTTTACTTTTCTCTCTGTCACAAACAGCTGGAGTGTGTTATGAGGCTGGTGCAAGTGGGATGTGAAGTTAATGCACTGACAACACAGTTCGCCCAGACCCCGGCTCACATTGCTGCATTTGGAGGAAATCCAGAATGCCTGCTGTGGCTCTTACACACTGGGGCTGAAATAAACAGACAGGTTGGTCCATGTACAATAATAGCTGGCATTAGTGATGAGGGTTATACTGTACTGGTATGACAATATACAGGACTTGTGATGTCCTATATGTGACTTGAACTTGATAAATGAGTTGAGACTTTATTATTTGTGGTGATATCAGCCTCATGAATTTTTTTCCAAAGATTTCAAAACCAAACAGCTTGTAAACCGTATGTCACGTAATGTTACATTTACTTCTGGTAAATGTCCATAGGTCATTGGTCAGCTAGAAAAAATGAACTCTAGAGAGGAGCATTTTGATAATATATGCATTATATCGCATATTCATTACATTTTTACTTAACCAGTTGTCTTCATTAATGTATGTTTGAATAAATCTTTGATTAAAACAAGTTGTTATAGCCACTTTAATTTATTTAAAGATCAAATTGAAGTAGAAACAATTATAACATTAAAAAGTTGATATTAAACTGCCTTGTGTTGTGTGCAGTTTAAATGATTATATACAGTTAATTAATTAACTAAACTTGCGGTTTTCAGCTAAATTAAAACTAATTTCAGTTTCAATGTTTTGGTAAAATATTAGTATTGTTGAATTTATTAGTTACTGTCTTCCTTCATACCATTTATCTTTGAGGAAGTGCCTTAAAGTCCTCTTATCAGTTGCCTAACTTATCATCCCTGCTTCCACTTCTTTCATTTCTCTATCCTCTCTCCGGTGTCCTGGTGCACAAATCTCTGCCAAACTGATCCTATTGCTAGGGATGATCCTCTTTGTGATAGACAAATCTTTGAATGGTGACGTCTTTCCCCAAGGGTTGAGCACTGTAGTCTGTGAATTAGCCTAAAGGGCATTAGAGGTTACTCACCCCTTAACAACAGATGAAGACAAGTAGAAAAAAAAGGTGACAGATGATGACAGATTGTCATTTTTCAAGTTTTCGTTTGTTAACATTAGTTGACTACATTTGTTAACATGAACTAACAATGAACAATAGTTCTACAACATTTATTAATCTTATTTATCTCAACATTTATCTATACATTAAAGGTGCTCTAAGCGATGTCACGCGTTTTTTAGGCCAAAACTTTTTTTGTCACATACAGCAAACATCTCCTCACTATCTGCTAGCTGCCTGTCCCCTGAACACACTGTAAAAAAACAATTATCACTTGTACTTGGATAAAAGGATATAAACACTGATGGTTAAGATAACAATCAAAATAGAGTAATCCACCTTTTGAAAGTAACTTGACTCTTCAAATATAGATCGTATCATTTACATTGTTACACCAGTAAGTGGCGACAAGTGACTGTTAAAAAATGCATTTGTCATTGAATCAGCCATTCAAGAGATTTGTTCATAAATTCTGATTCATCCAGTAATGAATCAAGTGAAGTCTTTGAGTCATTGAATCATCATTCATTCAAATCGATTAAAAGAAAATACATAAATTAAAAAAATAAAATTTAAATGGACTGCAGCAACTAACATTTGATCAGAACCTCTAGTAAATTATATTTTGTATAGTTGTCTATTCAGAATTATGGCAGATTTGTGATCTCTATTTTAAACAAAAAATTGTGATATTATTATTTTATTTATTTTTTTCAATTTATCCAGAATCGTGCAGCTTTAAAAGTGATTACTGGACCATTTAAATAAGCAGCCGATCAATCGGGCAGTTCAAATCAGGCTCAACTTGCCTTTGCTCGACTTGCATTTACTGTTATTTTGTTTAATAGTGACATCACATATGTTTTAACTAGACAAACATGCACAGAGACTGATGGAGCTGTCCATCCTGTATTATTGTGTTGGTTCAAGAGGAAGTGAATGAGAGCAATCCCTGTTATATTACTGTTTCTGCAGTAATTGTGTGGTTTGACCTACATTTTGTGGTATTATCTGGGTTATTTAGGAGCAAATTATTGTCTGCGCTTCAGTTTACTGCCTTTAGGGGGAGCTGTTGTGTTAGGGTGAAGAGTTCAGTGTCTTCCTTATGACTCACTGGCTGAGTGTTCCTTTAGATTCTCTTCTTCAGAGTGATATCTACCAGAGGTGCAGACATGGACCTTTAAACAGCATTTTAGATCCACATTGTTTTCAACCATGCTGATGGCTGTGCCCATTAAAGCTTTTGAATGATACATAAATTGATGTACAGAATGTTGTCAGCCTGACTGTTGCATGGTGAACTGTTCAATTATTGTTGTGAAAGCCTGTCAAAATGTTGCATTTGCCATATGGTTTCAGGATTATGTGGGTGAAACACCCATTCACAAAGCAGCACGGGCCGGTAACATGGAGTGTATTAATGCCTTGTTGGTCCAGGGAGCCAAACCGGAGTAAGTCACTGTCTTATTTTTTTTTTTTTTTTTTTTTAAATGCTTTATCATGTGACTTCATGAGATGCTTTTTGTTACATCACAGTGTTAAATGGAATCTCCATAAATAAATAAAAAAGCTCTGCCATAGAGCCTGCATTTTGATTTTGACCATGTCATGAAACCAGATGATATGCAACTAGAAAGCCTTGATACATAATTCACATTTATACCTGATCGGCTCAAGAAAGCTTTAAAGTCCTTAGACACTTCTATTAATTGAGTCCTGAAAAATAATTTGACTTTATGCCACAATCAGAAGAATGTAAATGCAAATATTATTGCAAGAATTATTTAGCATACAATTAGTAATTGTCACCCTTGTAGTACAATGTCTATAGTTAAAAAAATTGCTAAATAAATGTCATTTTGTTATTTGCATTTTCCACATACCACAGAAACAAAATTTCCCTAGATTTTTCTTTCAAAACACATTTCAATTCTAGAAACAACTGCAAATGTACAACCACTTAAATTGTATTATTTCAATTAAAGGATAGTTCATCCGCCCCCCAAAATGTCATCATTTACTCACCCTCATGTCGTTCCAATCCCATAAGACTTCTTTTCATATTCGGAACACAGATGAAGGTATTATTAATATTCTTTAATCATTTTTGTCCATCCATTGAAAGTCTACGCTACTAAAACTTTACAATATATTTTTGTACTTCTTGATGTGTCAAAGTAGTCCATGTGATGGAGAGGTTCAATTAGGGGTCAAGCACCGAAGGTGCGTAGGCACCTATTGAAATCGTTGGCGTTCTTATTATTATTCTTCCGCTCTGGAAGTCTATGGCAGCCCATAGAACCGCTTGTGGGAAAGTTATGAAATTTGGCACACTGATAGAGGACAGTCTGATCTGTCACCATAGCAAATTTGGAGTCTCTAACTCAATCCCTCTAGCGCCACCAACTGTCTAAAATGTCACTCATGTTTATGCTGATAACTTTTGACTCATAAGGGCTAGAAACCAAATTATTTGTTCCTCTGATTCCTTGGCTCAAGCCGATTGCACCCTATGACGTCATTTTCCGTCGTGAAAATTGGTCCACCATTTTGAATTATCCGAAAAACCTACTTTTTCTAACTCCTAGGCCGTTGCTCCGATTTTCACGAAAATTGAACCAGATCATCTTCAGACCAATCGAGACTAAACCACCGTAGGAAGTTTGGAAACATAGGTCGTTGGCTATATGCTAATGCCCAAATATCAAAATTTTAAAGGGGCACTTGGCAACTATTTCAACTTAATAAAACCGTTTAGAAATCATTTGAATGGTTTAATAACCTGTTCTGGAGAGAATGGTGACTTTCCCCGCTCCCCCCAGCCTTCCCAGGCGGAAAACCAACCTTGCAACATGGGGACTAACGTCCCGGTAGGTTGGAAATAGGAAGTCTCTTGAGAAGCGAGAACGAGCGAGAAACACGGACTGCTTTATGGCAATTCGACATAATTCTATGACACATACTGTGTATGGTGTATTACCCACCTCGGTAGACATATCTCCACACGATAAAGTTGGCCGGCTCCGATAATAACAAATGCACATGAGCAGCGGCAGAAAGCGGGAGGAGGGCGCCGCAAGTGAGTTTTTTTATGACAGTGTTGTGAAAACTTAGCCGCACAGCTGTAGGGGGAGCTCGATGAGAAAACATGCGACAACAAAAGTGAAAATCAGCGAAGAAATGACTAGAGTTGCCAAGTTCCCCATTAATAGTAAGTGGCAAGAAAATGTAAACCAAGTCAGGTGTGGGTAATTTATGTGTTTATACATATAAATGTCTATAACTCCAAAACGAAATGAGAGATATTTTCACCAAATTTGACACACTCATGTATGGGCTCACTCTAAGGACACATAAAAAAAATTGTGGGATTGTGCCTCTTGGTGGCGCTATAATAGAACAAAACATGAAATTGCCATTGACTTCAATACAGTATTGTGATATAAAATGCTATACTTTATGAAAGCATTAGCATATCGTTATGAGTCATTGGCACCATGCCTTGAAGGTACTCAAAAAGTTTTGGGGTAGCGCCACCTTGTGGTAAAAAAGTTATAACAAATTTACAAAAATGCTAATAATAATTTTTGAATAAATTTGCCTATTGTAATGACACTGGTCTTAATAGATTCCTTGGGTTATGCCGAAAACATGGATAACAATTTTGCCATAGTCAGCCAAACTTCCTGTCCGCCATCTTTATTTTCTTTTAAAACCTACTTTTTCGAACTTCTCCTAGACCGTTTGTCTGATTTTCACCAAAATCGAATCGTATCATCTCTAGACCGTGCCGACAAAATGTTATGGATTTTGTCGATAGACAAAACCGTGTCCGTATACTGCAGCCCCGATGTGGCTGCTTGCAGCTATATTTTGGGCTTCTATTCGAGAAAAAAAAAAAAAAAAAATACATTGAGCACATCAAATATGGTAAAGAGAAGCTCAACTGTATTTGATACGCCAGAACAAACCTCATTAGTTTCTCATGGAAGCTTGAACGTGCTTGTGTGACACTTAAGAAGACACTTACCTTGTTGGTCTTCGTGCTTCAAGCAAGCACGGTTGAGCTTCTATTTTCTTTTAATCAATGTTTAAATATTAATTAAAGCCTAAATCATATCTGTTGGTCATATTAAGCGATTGTCTCTTCAGAAGACTTGAATTAAATTGGTTGATTCATAAGGATACTTTTTGTTCTTCTTCATGAGTCAAAGTTTTGGTTGCGATGGATGGACAAAAATTATGAGGGAATATAAAAGTATCTTCATTTGTGTTCTGAAGATGGGCGACAGTCTTATAGGTTTGGAATGACATGAATGGCAGAATTTTCACTTTTGGGTGAACTAATCCTTTAAATGTACTGCACTGTTTTATTGGATGCAGCTACAGTCAGCATTAGGCCAGCAGAGCTTTTTTAGTGGAGTTTTTCTTTAATTAACATGTCTGTCTAAACTTTTTGTCCTCGTTTAGCTTAAAAGGTGTGTTTGTGTTTAGTGATTCAGTTTGAGGTTAAGATGAAAATCACACAACAAATGCACATTTCCTCATTTTTTCCCCCCAGCAGATCAGAGGTATTTTTACTAATCTTGGCATAGAACGCAAACTGCAATTTAGAAATATTCAATATGAGAAATAAATGATCCATTCTTTTTTTCTTTCAAAGGTATCACTCTTAGCCAATAAAGTTACACTGACATGTAGGTACATGCAGATTCTCATATTGGCTGTGCTGGATTACTAGAGACCTCTTAAAATGCAATTACATTTTGCTTTAAATCCAGTAAGTGAATGAAGATTCTTAAAGTAAGTACTGGTCTTAAAAAGGATAGTTAAAGGATAGTTTTTTTGAGAATGGTACTCGTATGTGAGGGCTGAAAGATGGGTGGATGTTTGAGTAATTGTGCATTTGTTTTTAAAGTACGTCTGTAGGTAACCTTAAAAGCATGTTGCCTTGTGTTTGTGTGTTTAATGACATAAAATGTGTATTATATTGTCTTAAAGAAATGACTTCTCTTTCCAGATTAGCTTAAAACAAAAATTTTATTGAGTTCTCTTTAAATCATTCAGAAATTTCTTATGAGTTAATGGCACTCTCAAACCGACACTGTTCATAGATGCATCAGTCAGTGTATACCAGCACATGCCCCAGAAAAGATCACAAACTTGCATTAAACCCGTGTGTCCACCAAAGCTTTTTTTCCTGCAGCTAGCATATTTTTCCAATTGGTTTCAACGGGAGCACCACGTTTTTAAAACTCCAGGAGTGTAACGAGGCGCTGAGCGTCTATTTCTCTATTTTTTACCGATAAAACTTACCATAAAAACCATAAAACTTTGGGTAAAAAGCAGCGCTCATCACTGTCACTTTTTACCCAACCGTCCAATCACAGTGGATGAGAGGCGGGACAAATACAACACCGACCAACCGCCACACTCTGCTTTTCAATGTCAACAGATGACGACAAGCATAATAATGGATCCAAATCATTTAAAACAAGAGCCAGAGAAAATACTTCACATTGTATCGACATGTTTATATAGAAACAAAACAGAAACAAACTATCCGTAAAATGAGATACTAGTAACACTTCCGCAGATATTATGTATAATAGCAAAGCGTCTCAACTGAAAAAACCGCTACGCTGCCAAAACGCTCTCAAGCACCCACAGCTTGGCGTTTTCTGCAGAGCGCCTAGAGTTTTCAGCTGGCTAAAAAACGCTTTGGTGGACACGCGGCCTAACAATCTGGCAAACATTAGTAATAAACAGACAAATATCTCTCATATTGTGAAGTAAGTTCTTATGTTTTCTAGTTCGCCTGTTTTTTCCATTGAAATAATTTTCTCTCGAGTAAAATTTTTGCAGTGGGTTAAGTCTGTTATACTGTAGCATCAAGGACGTTCTGTAGACCAGACTGAGTAAATTTAGCTGGATCCGGGTTCGATATCCTTGGCAAGTTGGTGTGAACTGGTTTGGCACGTGTTGGAAAGTTTTCTCATTTTTGAAATGAGACTACAACCACAAAATTGTACAGTTGTGTAGTGTGTGGCAAAACTGAAGCACTGCTTTTAGTATAAGTATACACCTAACAATCTCTAATAACAATCTCTGAATTTAACATGATGTGATGAACCTACTTGTAAAGCGGACTTATAAAATGATGAAAATTATTCATCGTCTTTTTTTCTTCAAAACATCTGTATGTAACATGTTTATACATGTTTTTGAAAAACATGAAACCCCAAATAATCTTAATTCTTAAAATATCTATCAATTTGTAGACCCATTTGCTAACATACCGAAAAGCATTCTTTTTCGAATACAGCATTGTCTGTAATTTATTTCTTTGTTTGCTTGTATATTTTAATTGGCCAAGTTCTTCAAAACTTAGTTTCAATTGAAACACTAATTGATATATATCATGATAATTGTCATTTATAACCGTAAATTAGACTGGTTGAAAAAATGTCCATAGAATTGTCTATACTATCAATATGTAGCATAGCAGTGCTTTGTTTTGTTGTAATTGAAGCTTTAACACTTTCTTACTATACAGAGCCCAAGTGAGTGACACCATTTACCAAAGAAAAAAGTTTTCAAGCTGTTACACCAAAAATGTAATCACTAAGGCTGTCAAAGTCAATGTATTGAAAGATTAAGTCTAAAGAGATCATTTGTTAAACGCCATTAAATTGTATTAGGCAAAAATACAAAAAAATCCCAATTTGATATTAAAATGGTTTTACTCTGTTCTGCTTGACTTCTACAGTTGGAGTCTATGTATTTTTTCAAAAAGCATTGCTGCAGGTTTTAATACTAAAACATCAAAAGTCCATAGTTGGGATCATGTTTATTAGAAAATGGTTTATTAGTAAATTCAGAGACTCAACAGTAAATTAATTTATGAATTAAATCCAAACTTGGAACAAAAGTAAATTAATTTGCTGCCACTGCAAGGTGTAATACAGTTGTATAGTGTACTGTTTAGTTCAGTAAGCCAGAAAGATGAACTGAATGCATTAAAACTTAATCTTTGACAGCCTTAGTTGTGTCCCATCTGACTTTAATATATAGGCCTTGACTTTTTTTATTTTTATGTTTGTGTCCATCTTTCTAATGAGCTTATTATAACCCTCAGAAAATGCAAATAGGAAGTGGAACTTACTTTCAGTCAGATCTGCACAAAATCTGTCCTTAAGAAAGATGGTCTAGGGTATACAGTAGCTAGTGCAGCAGAACATAGCATACTTAAAAGCAAGGATGTGTCAATACTTTATAGATAAGTTTCATGAATGTCTGCTTGTTTTTATGCCTCTTAGATGTGTACTATATCTGTTACCTTTCTGATTAAAGTAGCATGTTTGCAAAAAATATTGAAGATCCATTGTGAACCGTTACAGAGAAGGAAAATCCCTACACATCTCAATGTTTTGCAGCGGTTGAATTTGAACATGACTTGATTTTCTCAAGTAAAGCCCAGAAAAGGGGGGAAGCATTCCAAAAACTGCTGCCACACGTTCTTCAGCGAACACCCTTACATTGAGTGTTCACACTATCGCTCCCTTCAGTATCTACACACTGGCAATCTGTCGAGGTATTTCTTGTGGTGATTGGTTTTGATTCTAGGAGAACAGTCATGATAGCATTTAGACCTGCATGCTTTGCCTAGACAGCAATGTCTTGTTACTTATTCTGCAAGATTTGTTTTCTTCTTTACTTATTTGTTCTCAACTAACAAGAATAAGGGGAGGCTCAATAATACATGTTAATCATACAGTAGCTCAAGCTAATCAAGCTTGAATTTAGCTTGAATAGGAGTATACTTGTAAGCAAAAGTAGAAAGCTATGTTAAGATTACAAAGCAAATAATGTTTTAAAACATTAAATGCTTCCTTGAGCTAATATACTCAAATGTAGGACCTCTTCATTTTCAGTGCCAGACAATTAGTTGTAGCAATACGTCTTTCATGCCAAAACAGTTTTAATGAAGAACTTTATTCTATGTGCAGACCACCTTCTTATTGACCAATTGAGGGTTTAGCATAAAATCCTGTCATTGTGTTTGCAAGTAAATGCATGAATTTAACCCCCTAACTGTCACCCCCTTTTTGAGAATAGATGTGGAAATGCACTATCCAAATTTAAATAGGTCTATATTCCAAAGCATTCTTGAATTACAACCAAGTTTGGTCTTGTTTTAAAGACACTCAGCAGATTATTGCAGAAGTGAAAGCACTCAAAAAAAATAAAAGTATGAAAGAGTTATGGAAGTTAACATTTTCTGTAAATCAAATGTACTAAATTATTATTTTATATAAAATATATATTTTACAAAATATTTTTACTCTAAAATTACTGTAAAATCAAAGCCAAATGTCTAACCAATTTGTGTGCCAAATTTTAAGTTGATATCACAAAAACTGAAGTTCATACGAGATCTTGTATAGGCGCTGTACCAAAAAATAGCTACCGGTTGTCATCCACATTCCATTGAAATTTTTTTTTATGCATTCTCCTTTAACAAATTAATACATTTCTGTCAAAATGTCACTTCTATCTCAAAATATGGAACCTTTAGACTCTTACGATTACATTCTTTTTGTCAAGATTATAAAAGGTTTTGATCATAAAGTAGTTAGTAAATGTTGTAATATGAAACCTGACACCGCCCACTAGGGGAGCAAGGAAAGGAACCGTTTTCCTATTTCAAAATGGTTCTTAAGCTTTCGAATGATACCTAATTTATGATTTGACAACTTTTGGATTACATTGTGATCTTTATCTAAAGATTTAGATCAATGATTTAACATACTGATGATGATGATAATAAAATGTATTATAAATGAACAAGTAGGTTTTTGGCAATCTGCGCATGAGTGAGATGAAGGTTAACGATTAAAAGCAAACCATATTAAATTGTTTTAGAAACAACTTGATCGTGAAAAATTAGTTTTTCTCTATTGTCACAATTCCACCATTTTAGTATAATAGCAAATATTCAATAGCAAAAGCTAATTTCTATTGAACACTCCTTTTAAGTGTTTATTTTTATTTAACAATTTAAATTTTACATTTATTATAATTAATAATTGTAAATAAATGCATTAAAACAATGCCATGTAGCCTTTGACTACTATTTTTATTAAGTATTGCCTTAAAAAAAGGTAAACGGTCAGTAATACATTGAATATCAGACATGGACGCTCATCTGAGAGAACATGCACAAATATCTGCATGTAAGCGGTTGAAAGAAACCCTCTGTCAGCCTAGTGCACAACATTAAGTCAGTACTACTGCAGAAAGTCTGGTATTGTTACATTTTTGTATTTTGGTACTGAAGTACCAGTACTTTTGACATTTTTACTTGGGCATATAAATGGTCATTCTTAACTCCAGTTCAGTGAATTCCTAGACTTAAGAATTGTCTGGCATTGTCTGATGTTTTGATTGAATGTTTCTGGAAGATTAAAAGATTCAATCTAACACACTTGGAAGCATTTAATATTTTATTTGACAGTAAAGGGATGTTTAAGCAGGAATGTGTGAATGCAAACCAATCATATAACTTTTTTGAATAACTGTCTTAACTTGTCTTTTATATTCTGAGGCATTGTCACATATGTTTGTTGTTGTTTTTTTTTTACTTGTTTTTAATGTAACCCCCTTTTAAAATACAAAGGGAGAGACAGATAGGTAAAACCGAATTCATAAATGAACCAACTGCTGACCCAAATGTTATTCCTTGATGGTGAGTAAATGATGACAGAATTTTCATCTTTTAAGTGAACTTCCTTTAATCTTATGTCCATTTTTGCAAAATGGCAAACATTTATTCTTAAACCATATAAAATGTAATCTGATTAAAATTACTGTCTAAACATCTTCTATTAATTTAACATGTTGGTTCATGTCTGAATTCTCATTTAAGTGCACACACTGCATTTGGAGATAAATATGTTTTGAACGTTTCTGTAACTTTCTAATGAACTAAGGTCAGTTTGTTCTGGTTTTAGCTACCTCTTGAAACAAAGATTGACTGCCTTCAGTACTTTTAAAATTACAATTCTCCAAATCATCATGAGTATTAAACTTGTATCAGATTGTTATATTTTGATCACAAAAATTATGTAAGAGAGAAAGTATTTTGGGATATATTTTAAGACAAAAAAAAAAAATGGTTTCAGAACAATATTATTTCCTGCTGCAGTGTGTGAATAAATAACTTTTTGGGCCTTTCCAAAAACTAGCTTATAGAATAAAAGGGAAAGTCTTTGCAGCCTTAAATTTGAAATGGTAGCATAACATTAGCATAACCGTGCTAATCAGACAATTCCAGATCCGACTAATCATCTTTTCTTTACTCACTGTGCAGCTTGAGGAATGCAAATGGTTTGACAGCAGCTGACCTGGCCCATGGTCAAGGCTTCCATGATTGTGCTCAGCTTCTCTCTAACGCACACAACCAGCTAAATAAGCTAAATGGATTTGCTCATAATGGGACTGACCACACGCACATCCAGGGCCGCAGTCTTCTGAATGGGACAGCCAATAGGAAAAGATTTCTCGATTGCACGGAGCCAAACCATGTGAAAAAAGCAAGAACTGAGAGTATGTAAATAGTCTGTGCAAAACGTCAATTCTAATCCAAGGAAAACCATATTTTTCTGACTATATTGTATGTTTTCCATTCAGGCACAAATTTCTCGGAGAAGACAAACAATGGAATTGGAGAGGAGCTTGAAAGTATGAATGTGGAATCAACTGCTGAAAACCAATCAGGTGGGACTGGACCTTCTCCACCAATCTCTATTGACTTTGAACATCATGAAGACAGTGTTTCTTTGAGGAACTCCTCTCCCACCCTAAAAATGTTGGAGCCCACATCCATGACTTCTGTTCCTGGCCCCTGGCTATGGACAAACTCTTATGCTTATTTATGATGGCCAGGTTATCAACAAGTTTCCCCAGTCTTATCAACAAGCTGTCAGATCGAAAGACTGGGATGATATATTCTTCAATATATCTGCAATATAATATTATTTGGGATGAAACATCAATTTTTCCTAATCTAAAAGTGTTTAATTTAAGTATGCGCACATACAGGGAATTTTACTTTTTAGACAAAACATACAGAAAGACACGTACTGAAGAGTTGCTAGTTTTCTTGGCTTCATTTCCATGAACTTTTGCCATATATTCTGTATATGGTAATTCTAAATAAATTTTGTAAAAGTAAATTAGCTTACTGTTATCTTAAATACAGGCTTGTATGCAATAAAACTTCCAGCAATATATTTCACAGTGAAAGCTTACTGATTTTTAGGATATTTCATGTAGATGTGTCTTGTTTACAAATGAATAAATGCATAGGGTAATATTTTACTACATAAAAGATTTCAAATGCAATCTGCTTGAATTCTATGTTGAAATGGTTTATTTGAAACATTTAAGGCACATTTTATGTTATGATTTTTTTTTATATAGTAGTTATGCTTTCTCAGAGTAAAAGAAAAAACATTCTAGATTTTATCACTGCTGACTTTTGCAGTTGGGTGTTCCAGTGCACTCCACACACACAAAAAAGCTACCCCTTTTCCCCTTGTGACCATTTGGAAGAGAACAGTCTGCTTGATGACTTGTCATCTTGTTAAAACCTGTCTTACAGGTGACGTAAAATAAAGGATCGGGCTTAGGATAGCCAATACCGATCAGTTAAGAAAATACTTAATCAGCCCAGAGACCGATCCTTGAGATCGGCTCAGGACATCCATAATTATTATATACTGTCAAAAAAGTGCTCATACTGAAAATGAAATGTTTTTTCAACTACAATGTATTTGTAAAATGTTTTTGTTTCTCTGTTCTGACTCAAGTTCATATGTAATCAAGGCCATTTGTTCATCATCACTTTCTGACGCATGTCTTGTTTTAAATGACAGATGAAGCCATAGCCACAGGTTTGAGGAATGGTCATGGGCAGCAGAACAGTTTCACTGTCAACAGCTTCGCCACAAACGGGCAATGCTATCAGTCCCCTTTCATTCCAGCTGAATCGAGAAACGACATGTGTGGCTCACTGCACCTCAATGGTAGCCCAAGCAGCTGCGTATCTCACCGGCCTGCATGGGGTGCTTTTCTGCCCGACTCCGGTGAATATCTCCACTATGGACACTACCATGGTTTTGGAGATACGGCAGAAGACCTGGAAGATGTAAGCAGCTGTCACGAGCACACTAAAACCGTGAAAGTAGAGCAGCACTATGACCAAGAGGTTCTCAGTGCCGTGCAGCTGTTCCATGGATCATAAAAGTGAAAATTATATCCGTCCATTTAATTAGAAGTGGTGGAAGGTTGGTGGCAGCACTATCCGCCTTAAACGAATTAAATCTTGCACCTTAATGCAGGCTATAATAAAAGTTTTTGTTTTTGATAAAGGGGAAAATCTTTCTACCAAAGGGGAGATGTATTGCATTTTGTATCTGACCTAAGGAATTTATTTTATTATGTATGTGTTTGAACTCAACCTAGCTATCTGGGTGCATTTCTTTTTTACCTTTAATGCAAGTTTAGAAAGTACAAGGAGTTGATTTTTTTTTTATGTGGATTAATTGTTAGTTTGTAACGTTAGTTTTGTGCCAATGAAAACCAGCTTTTTGGAAAAGGAGAATTTTGTATATAATTGTTGTTGTATGCTTGTCAGTTTTTTTCCACTGAGAAGCAAAGCTGACATGCTGACTGTTGTTTTTTGAAAAAGAAGCTGAAAGATGTACGACATTCCTTTGTTTATATTTCTACCCTGTGTTCTGATTTTTTTTTTTTTTAAATGTAAAACACAAAAGAAGCCCCTTTTTATTTTAAGGTCGGCCCATAGAAGAGAAGCTCACCTTGCCATATTTGGCTGATTTTCTTGTAAGAGAAAAGTTTCCGACATTTTCTTACATCTACTTAAAGAAACTTTGGGTTTATTTCTGACATGCATTTTGTACATCAAAATAAAATGGAACCTTAACACTGCATATATTTAAAATGTTTTGTTTTCAAATACATCGTACCGTATCTGAAATAAAGACCTCGGTTTCCTGCCTGTTTGGATGCACGGGTGTCACCTTACTGTCTATGGGTGTCACCTGTCTTCTGCGTCGACCTTTACTGCGATACCTACAACGTCATTAGCGCTCCGCCTTCAACAGATGGATCTTTGATTTTATTCTTTGTAAAAGGGGGAAACATTTGTAATACATTGAATATAACAGCCTACATATGGCATATTAAATTGCAAATATAACATTTGTATATTATTTAAATGGTACAAGTTAACTATACAATCTCTACATTATTAACGAAGTTATATAGACTGTTAATAATGTACCACTAGTCTCCCCCACAGGAAAGTGGTATCGTCTGTAATTCCGTGTTGAAATCCTCCAAGCTGAGCCGAAAAGCGAATTTGAGTCGATGACCTTTCAAGTGGAGAAAAGGCACATATTATTTGAACAGTTATATCACAAAAAATTGTATCTGACAATTGTACGGTTTAAAAAATGTCTACTCCAGCACGAAGGCGACTTATGAGGGATTTTAAAAGGTGAATAATAAAAGAAAACTATAAGAGGAGCTGTTGTTTACTGCTCCCGGATGTACCGGTGGTACCGGGTAATAAGGAGAAATATCTAGACGGGAATTTTTTTTTTTTTTTAAGAAAAGTTATTTTTCGTATCCGACATCTTGAATATGATATATTCAAATAGAAATGAAGATCTGTTAAATGTCGTCTTTAAAAAATAAAGTAATTTGTTTTGTGTTTATTTTGACCTTAGTTTCCTAAAACTGACCTGACTCCCTTGTTTATTTTGACACAAACCCAACAGACTTCAAGAGGATCCTCCAGCCGGTGTTAGCGGTGCACCGTCAGAAAACAATATCATGGTATGGAATGCAGTGATATTTGGGTAAGTACTTCTTGTGACAATATTTGTGCTGTGGACTAAACCAAGTTTATTAAATGTCAGATTCACGTTTCTGAAACCCGAGCAGTTTTATGTCGTTCGTGAACACCTAAGAATTGCATAAACAAAGACCGTCCTTTTAAAAAGTTCACAAATTTGAGCATTTGTTATCCACCTGTGCCTGTTTTCACACTGAAACTGAAAGCAAATGATGACGTGGTGGCATTATTGTGGTTATCCAAATGTTACCAAAATGTTTAATTTTTTTTTTCACAGACCAGAAGGAACTCCATTTGAAGATGGTAAATATAAACATGCACTTCTTGAAATGAATAATTTCTTGTCATTCAAGGCATGTATGCTATGTATTTTGTATTCATGCTTCTTGTTGTTGTTTTAGGTACATTCAAATTGACAGTAGAATTCACAGAAGAATACCCAAACAAACCACCCACAGTTAGATTCATCTCAAAAATGTTTCATCCTAATGGTAAGATTCTTTTTTTTTCAACACGGAATAAAAAACAACAACAATAATTGCAACTTTTCTTACTTTTTTTTAAAGTATATATCTTCCAATTTGGACTTCACAATTACGACTTTATAACTAACAATTCAGACTTTTTTTCCCTCAGAATTGTGAGATGAACTCACAATTTTTTAAAAGTCGCAATTACCTTTATTTTTTATTCTGTGGCGGCAACAAGCTTCCATAATTTGGCAGTTTAATTCCGCTGCCCTACGAAGGCTACTGCCTCTTTGACGTGTTTTAACCACCCCTTTCTCTTTCAATGATACCTTAGTATATGCAGATGGAAGTATATGCCTTGACATCCTACAAAACCGTTGGAGTCCAACTTACGACGTGTCATCAATTCTTACCTCAATCCAGGTAAAACATTGTAGTGTTGATGCTTTTTACCATTATGAGTATCAATGCAAATCAAATCAAAACGAAGCTTGATCAGCTTTTTTCCCTCTGTTGTTTATCCTCAGTCTTTGCTTGATGAACCAAATCCAAACAGTCCAGCTAACAGCCAAGCAGCTCAACTTTACCAGGAAAACAAGCGGGAGTATGAGAAGCGTGTGTCAGCTATTGTCGAGCAGAGCTGGAGGGACAGCTGACCTTACACTGCAGAACACAGAACTTTGTGTGGTTAGAGTTTAGTTGAGTGAACTGTGAGGAAGTTTATTTTTTTCTTCCTCCTCTCTCTGTCTCTCACACAACTTTCATACTGTTATGATGCACTTTACCCAAAATCCATCCCTTTTTCCCCTTGGAGAAATTGTGCTCAGCCAATATCACTTGGTCATTTTCTAACCAAAAAGTGACTATACATTGTGTTAGCCTGGACTATACGAGGATATATGCAGGGGCCATTTTTTCAAGAAGAGGAACCTGCCATCATTGAATTGGTCTTGACTCAATGGGAACTGACCTTCAAGTGATCCTGCTATGCTATTTTTGTGTGTTCTGTTACATGCCTGGAAGTGTTTTTTTTCCCATGTTTTATTGAATGCCTCTTATGTACTATATAATACACTTTGAATTTTGTGTACAGGATCTGTGTATGATCAGTGTCTGTATTCATTAATTTGCTTGTTTTTTGTTTTTAATATGGTAAAAATAAAAACGAATCAACACGAAATATTAGTATGAACACATTAGTATAAAGAGTAAGGGATAATAAGGGATTTTTTCAATGTCTAAAGACAGGAAATAGTAAATTATTCAAACAAGTTCATTGTATGTGAAAGCTTATTATAACTAGCCACATGCTTGCACGGGACTAACAAAGAATGGGTTTTCACAAAAACAATACAACCCAACACAATTAAAGTTTCATTTAGTATCCATATTTCAAATAAATGCTTTTTGAAAAAAGTATTTCTGCCTCTGAGAGAGGAGATTTCAACCACTTGGATGATACTTCTAAGTGATTATTTGATACATGTCTCCAGATAAAACAGAAAATAAAGCATAAGAGATCAGCCGATATAGGTTACCTATTATATGCCCTCTCCTTTTTTGATTTGTCCATGGTTTTCTCTGTGTCTCCCCTACATTTTGGGCAGTACCACTTTCCTTTGGGTTTGTGATTAAGCCCAATACATGAAAAATGGAACCATTCAATTGGACATTCATCGTTATCACAACCAATCATCTCTCCAAATGACACCTGCTCACACAAGCAGTAAGTAGGCTCATTCGGATCAATAGGTAGATCTGTAGGTGAAGGCTCTCTGTCAGCTTTGGCTTTGGACCTCTGTTTCTTCTTTGAGGTTTTGTTCCGCTTCTCCCTGGCAGTGCCACCGCTGATCCCTTCATCATGGTGAACTATGGCGATGTTCTCAAGAGCGTCATTATTATTATTTTTCTGACGTCTGGAGCGCTTGTTAGCCCCAGAAAGCCCATCTATGGAACCAAGGGATTCCTCTCTTTGTTTCTCCTCCTCCCTTCTCTTACTGGGAATAATGGAAGATGTGGTAGTAGCTGTCCCGCTTTCATGGGGTTCATTTCGGGCTTCCAGAAGCTCAGCAAGATTGTCAACTTGCCGGCTACGATTCTCCAGCATCTCCACCATCTGACTAGCGAGTTGGATCTTCTCATCGCCCAGTTCCTGACTTTGGATAAGGGCTCTTTGGATAAAGTGCAGCAAACGCCTTCGCTGGATGGGGTCCTCTTCCTGTCCGTGTTTCTCATAGGCCTCATCTAACTCTTTGAGGAGGTCTGAAATTATACAAAATATTTATTGTGAATGCATTATGTGGTCACATTAGTGAAATTTCACAGGCAAAAATGGTCTATTGTAAATAGTGTAGTGATGTATGAAGCACAGCTCACTACACAGAAGTCACTTACAAACAAGCTCCACTTTCTGTTGGTCAGATTAAAAAGTCTTATGGGGGTATACATTTATTGATTTATTTATAAACATATCTTTATTATGGGGGTATAAATGGAGACATATATTTCATTTTTGGGTGAACTATCAATGCAGTTCTTAACGGGTTCAAAAGTACTTGACAAAGTATACTTCAAATGCATTTCACCTAGACGTTCATTCAATATGAAATTTGGCTACACCGGCAGGTAAACACCAATCCCTACTTGTTGAAAACGGCCAATCAAAGCTAATAAACAAAAACAGAGATCCGCCCATGCAATATTCAAAAACCAACCACACTCTATGAACTCGCCCAAAATGCGCGGATTCAAGAGCGAAATATGTTGCTTTAAATCAAACACGTTTTGCTTAAATCCAATCCAAAGCAAAGGAGGTGGAGCATGTGCTACTGTAACAAAATTCTACCCAACCAAATCCAGTAAGCTAAGCACTTTATCTGACAACAACCAGATGAACATACATGCACGAAATGCATCTCAGCGAGTGTGAAGTAGCCTACTCCGTATCATGACTGGCACTATTTTTTACCCTAGCGAAATTTGTTTTAAAACACAAACATCTGACATAATGCAGCCGACGTGTGATTGTGCAGCAACTAAAAAAATGCTATCACGAATCCAATTTTTGGTAAATGAGTTTTCTTTTACATGCCTTTAACATCCCCCTTTTTTTTAATCGCACTGTGAATTTAACTGTGGAGACGATCGTTTTTACCGTTAGTATGACACCAGAAGCTGAGAATATGACAACAAAAAATGATCAGGATGACCAACCAAGACCAGGGACGGACTCAAACCGACCGACAACAAAGTAAAATAAATAAATACCAAGAGGCTCTATTTCGGTAACGTTAGATCATGTTCCGAAATTGTTGTGATTTGTCTTAACATCAAATTTAACATACTCCCAATAATCTGATTCGCCTCTAATTCATATCTAAAGCCAACATAATTTCCACAATTGCAACAACACACGCGTAGAATGAAAACAAACTGGCGTATTATTAAAAAAACAACGCAACGTTACCTTGGTATTTGGAGTCAATTTCTCTCATAAGAGACACGTTTCTTTGTAGGTCGAAAGGCAGAGACTCAACCAAGTCCAAGTATTCTCCTACATAGTTAGCGATGTGTATCGGGTCCCAGCTGGCAGTATTCAGCATTTTAACTACGACTTTGTACTCTACATTTTGTGGAGGGAAAATCCTTCAATGGTCAAAAACAAAACACATCCTTGGCAAACAACCCTGACCTCGTTAAACAAAATCACCGTTACAATCGAGGCAAATTATGCATAGTATTTATACTGTTTTCCGTTTCATTTTATAGTAATACAAATATTTCAGTGCGTCGCATAACTTGACTCCAACGTGAAGATGCTCCGGGTAGTTTAAAACATAGATATCCATAATAAAGGCTAGATGTCTTACGGCGGAGTCTCTATCGTCATCACCGTCGGCCATCTTGTCACAGGCAAGCTTTCTGGCGGGCTCTGTGGTACCTGATGTAAGATGAGCGATCAGCACGAACACAAATACTCTTATCTCGTTGAAATCTTGACGGATTTACAAACCGTTTGGTTTCTTACAAACGTTATTAACGTGGCTATAATTCTGGATGATTATTTATTTATACACTTATTATTCATAAGTATGCAGTGTCATAACTACATCTCTGACGTTTATAACAAACCAAACTGTTTGAAAATCGGTAGAAAATTGAGCAAGTTATGGTTATTTAAAAAGTACTTGCACCATTAAAACACAATGTTACGAGTGAGTGAGCTGCCTGTGACAAGATGGCCGCCAAGTGCGGACGTCGACCTCCATTGGCCAGCAGCGCGGACGAGACATCTGCCTGGATATCTATGGGTTGAGCACTCAAAAATCGGGCCGGAAGCAGTAAGCCATCCGGGAACTTCTCGCCCACTCTTTTATGAATACTGATGTTTCGAACGTACTGCTTCCTTCACGTACTGTTTTCGCCTACTATATAGTAGGAAAGTAGGCATATTCGAACGCACTTAAGTCCGAATCTCGCGATAACTAGTACGTCACCCAGGTAATTCTCGCCTACTCTTTTGGATTCATACATACTTTTTCGCTCGCCTACTCTTTTTCCCATACTAAATAGTAGGGAAGTATGCGGTTTGGAACGCAGCCCGTGTATGCTGTATCAGAGCCCGTCTAACGGAGAGCCTTGGCACTTCCGATAGAGCTGGTAAGTCCCGCCCATCCGTAAAACTCCAAGTAGACCTCTAGGTTGAAAAAGCGTCAATGCAAGTGAATGAGAGAAAATAATTATTTTCTGATCCCGTTTGAATTGTGCCATGAATGTGAACATATGTTGTCTGTGAATTTTTTATATAATTTCTCATGTAACGAGTTTGACAGTATATTGTATGATTCTTTGGCTAGCAGTTGTGGAATAGACATAACGAGAAAGACTACACGTCGCATATGTGACGTCACCGCATAACACATTTTCCCTCCACAAATCACGGTGCGATAATCTAAGGAATTAGATTGAGATGCCTGTGTGTTTTGTACCCAAATGTCACCATTCAAACAAAGGCATGTTTAGCGGGATCCGTGTGCTAGTGGTGGTGACGTATATCAAACGCGTCGAAAGCAGCGAAGAGTTGTAGTCCACAAAGTGCTCTCACACAAAGTCTAACCGTATGAAAATTCTACCCGCTAAATTGTAGCATTCTTTACACGAAAATTTATATAAAAAATTCACAGACAACATATGTTCACATTCATTGCAAAATTCAAACGGGATTAGAAAATAATTATTTTCTCTCATTCACTTGCATTGACGATTTTTCAACCTAGAGGTCCAGCGGGGTAAGCGGAAGGGGCGGGACTTACCAGCTCTATTAGCCCCATTGTGCATCATATTGGTTGCAGTTCCATTAGAATTCCACTGGAGGTGATCGCGGGCGAGTGCAGAATGAATGGGAGTCTATGGAGCTAAACGGCTAAATGTATCTCTTTCTCCTGCTTGTCCTTGAATCAACATAGATTTTATTGTTGATTCCGCAAGTTCAATATAGATTATAGGCCAAAAGTCGAATGAACGAGTACTTATGTCCTTTCGATTTCTTACAGGTTAGGCCGTTGTTGGCCCGGAACACGCTAGCATTCTGCTATTATGTGACGTCATCACATTTTTGAACGGATTTTTAGAACAGATAAGTGAACTTAAAAATGCAATTTTCAGCTGAGTGTATTATCTTAGCCCTCCCTTTTGAATGCAACTTTCAAATTACTTGACAAAAAATTACATCCTGAGAAAAGTGGATTTCTGGGGGTGAAACCCCATAGACTCCCATTCATTCTGCACTCGCCTGCGAGCGCCGCCGCATGGACAGAGACGTGTTACTGCCATAGACAGTAAAAGAAATGGACAGAGCGATCTCATTGGAACTCAGTTGAGACAGTTGAAGCCCACTTTTAGCGATTTTTGAGAACTTCCGTTCCTGACGCGCAGACTCAAACCGACTCAAACTAAGCTTGATGACGTGAGCAACCTGTCTGACAGACGTTAATCTTCTAGTAGCTGTGCGTGAAAACTGCCAACGTTAATCTTGCAGAGACGGGGAACTTGAGCAAAGAGTTCTTTGGCGTGAGTGAGCAGGAGTAAGTATTCCGTTGCTTTTATGGACTCATTATCTATGGGCTTCTCCCTTGACGGGACGTCCCCCCGATTGCCTGCGAGCTTCTCCTCCTGTCTGTACGGTAACTTCTGTACAGCGCGACAGAGAGTCGAGTGGTTATGACGCAATCGTTAGCCTATTTTTACTAAATCTGTTTCTACGGGGCCATAGTGTAACATAGAAGGTAATGGAGCCCTTTATACATTGTCGTGTTTCTTTAGAAATAAATAATGGACAAATGGAGTCTTTAAACGCCTCAGATGTAAAGTTATTCGCTGTCAAAGTGACGCAAAAATGAATGGGAGTCAATGGAAATGCTAACGCAAGTGAAGTTCTGCTACAACATGGCGGCACCCGGCCGACTTCAACTTCCGGTCGATGGATTACCCCCTTGGTTACTGCAGCCAGTCCAGAAACCGGAAGTAACCAGACAGTGGCAATTATCTTCAATTAGACATTATCTGTCTGTATGGGCTGCCGCTTATCGAATTCCTTTTCAATGCTTTTCACAGTTGTGAGGTCAGTTCCATTCGGGATTTTAATTTGACCTAAAAAATTGACCATTGAAAAAGACTGAAAAGACAAACAATAACATATCTTCTGGTTGTAAACACTAACAGCTCAAAACGCACACATAAGATAACTGAAACTTGTCTTTGCCCTTTTACTAGACGCCTTATGGTAACGTACTAGATTACTGGAACTGGTTAAGCTGCTGGACCAGGTCAAGCTCTGCTCACGACGTCCAGAGAGGGGGAGCTGGACGTTATTTGGCTCTGCAGTGAGCAGCACCACTTGCTTTGAACGGAATGACACATTGCTGGGCTGGAAGTTTTTTTTTTTTTGCGTCACATACGGAATCCTCCCACTTAAAAATACAGTTACATCCCTCAAATGCATTTATAAGGAGAACGTTAATAAATTTGTTAATTGGATTAGTAAACCATAATCGAGATCATTTCCGTAACTGCATCGTTTTTCATGTTACTGTCTAATTGTCCGCTTTGCCCCGGTAGCGATATTTTTTTTCACAGGATGGTAGGGGACGACTCATGAATATTCATTAGGGAACTCATCCCTGATTGGTCTGATGACCTACCCCCTAACCCCGCCCCTAAACCTACCCGTCACTGGGGGTCTGATGACTTACCCCTAACCCCGCCCCTAAACCCACCCGTCACTGGGGTTAAGACCAATCAGGGATGAGTTCCCTAATGAATATTCATGAGTCTTCCCCTACCATCCTGTGAAAAAAAATATCGCGCCCCGGTATGGTTTTTTTCAGTGCGCGGCCATCTTGAACCCACTGCAAAACAGCCGAAAGAGAGGTGCGTGTGTCGGTGTGACAGATGAATGATCCTTACCAGTTGTGGACCGACGAAGCTGAACTTTCAATGTGATGACTCTGAAAAGAAACTGATCGGGGAATTGGGAAACCATATATCATCAATCCATTTGGGAAAACGCGCTTAAATGTCTAGAGATAGATTATATTTCATCGCATTGTCGCAATCTTTTAACCACCACCTGGACTTTGTTCAAATGTTTTGTGTTATGTAACGTTAGTAGAATGAAAATGAGGCTGCCTTTAGCATTCATTACAAATGCAAAACTGCTTGATTCTGGCTTTAGAATCAGGCATGGGATTCATAATGGAATTACAAAAACGCCATTGCTGTCCAGTTGTAATATATGCAGCAGGGCGGAGAGAAAGTGGATAAAACCAGTGGGCTATGACACCGGTGTAATGACTTACAACAGTCTTACCAAGCAGAAAGAACCCCTGGTTTTGGCTCAAGAAAGAATTGCTTCCTGGTAAGGTACACAGTGGTCCATCACGGTAATTTAGATTTTCTTACATGTTATATAAGTTTTTTTTTTTCTATAACATCTTTTGTCAATTCCAGGTATAGCTGTGGTCCCACTGTTTATGACCATGCCCATCTCGGCCATGCGTGGTAAGTGCTTGCTAGAGTAGTTGCAGTTAAGTTGAAACATAGCTTGTTTTAGGTTTTTGCTAGGTTATTTTAATAGAATTTATACTATTTAATATAATAATAATACTATTATAGTTATTAACTTCCATTTAAATTTGAGTAAATCTTAGTTTTAGCAATTTTGTTGTTTTTATTTTTATTATTTATGAAATGTTGCCTTGACAGCTAGCTGAAATGAAATAATTTTATATTTTATTTCAGTTAACATTTATTTTATTTCAAATATCAAAAATGCTATTATTTTAGTTGACTAAAATAACCCTGGGTTGGTGTTTGTTCAGCAGTAAATACATTTCTCTGCCAGCTTCCTTTATTTTCTTCTTTTTCTTCCTCGTATGCAGCTCATATGTCCGATTTGACATTCTGCAAAGGATCTTATCTAGACTTTTTGGAATCAATGTCATCCATGTTATGGTCATCACTGACATTGATGATAAAATCATACAAAGAAGCCTTGAGGTAAGTATCAACTTATACTCTTTCACCCATGATTCAGTATATACAAGATTAGACATTTATGTGGAAGGATGTTTACACTTGGCAAAATTCTAAGACATGTAGAATTTTTTTTTGGTTTAATTTCTTTTGCAGGAGAACATCTCACCCACCGTCCTTGCAAGAATGCATGAGGAAGAGTTTAAAAGGGACATGCAAGCACTGCGGGTAAATCAAAAAAAATTTGTGGCAATTTGACTAAATGACTGAAACATTAATGTGTATTTGTCTGGTCTTTGTTCATTTGTCCAGGTTCTTCCTCCAGCTGTATACATGAGGGTGACAGACAACATTCCCCAGATTGTAGCTTTCATAGAGCGCATTATCAGAAACGGACATGCCTATGTCACAAATCAAGGTGCCTCTCTCTTTCTTGTTGACAATTTAAGGTCAAGTCAAGTTTTTTTTTTTTTTTCTAAATATGAAAAGAAGATGAAACTGAATATCCAGTATGATTTGTTGACCCAGGGAACGTCTACTTCAACACTCAGTCCATTGGTAGCCGTTATGGCAAGCTTGTGAATCTCGGAGGCGTTGTTGGGGAGCAAGGTATGTTTATGACATCTGTTTTTTTGTCTTGGAGGTCTTCACACATCATTTGTCATTGCACATTTATTATAATCTTTTTCTGTGTTAAATTGTTTGACAAAACTACTGGTAATAGTTACAAATATTACTGATAATATATGTAATGTCTGTAGATAAGAGAAGTTTTTTTTCTGGGATAATTAATATGCTTTAGAAACCATGACCTAAATCCAATAGAGTATTTTACAATTTCTTGTATTTTAGGGGTTCAGGATAAAAGGGATCCAAGGGACTTTGCTCTGTGGAAAGCATCCAAACCACATGAACCTCACTGGGTTTCATCTTGGGGACAAGGGAGACCTGGGTGGCACATTGAATGTTCTACAATTGCAAGGTAAATGCTCTGCCTTAAGGCTGGCCCACAATAAAATATTTTAAAAAAAATTAACAGATTTTCAAAATGTGAGAGAAACATGACGATACAAAAAATCATACATTTTGTACCTATCGTGTGTGGAGTGCGTCCAAAACAGCACACCACTTAATAACAGATTTTATTCACAAACAACCAGAGGCCTGACTGTGAACACAGGAAATCTTGCAAAATCTCTCGAGGTTAAACGTGACTTTAGAGTAAACAAACATGGCGACGACGGGCAAGAAGAAATGGCAATAATAGTGTTTGGAATACTTTTTACAGTAAATTTATCAATCACTTTTAACACAAATCACATCACAGGAAAATCTGATAATATAATCTGTAGAACCATCAATATAAACGGGACTTAACTAGGATTGTAGGAAGGGGAGAATTGGGCCCAAAATTGGGGCCCCTGATTATCTTGTAGTGTGTGGGTGCCTTAAAGGGATACTCCACCGTTTTTTCATATTAAACTATGTTATTCTCTTATCTAAGACGAGTTGATACATACCTCTCTCGTCTCAGTGCGTGCACTTAATCGCTCTGTCGGGCGGAGAACTTTGAGAGCAGTTAGCTTAGCCCCATTCATTGTATATGGGCCAAACAGAGATGAAGTTAGAAGCGACCAAACACATCCACGTTTTCTCTATTTAAATATAGTTACACGAGTAGTTACACGACCAAGTATGGTGACACTAAATAAAATGTGGCACTTTTTATAAGCGGGTAAAATGGATAACTATAATGTATGGCGGAATAGCACTTATTGGGAGCACTTCGACTCGGCGCTGTAATATCTTCACTCGTGAAAAGTCCTCTCCCCCCTCTCCCTCTCCCTGTCATTTCCGTCAACAGAACCAACGTGACCTGCACGCCTGCAGTAGTAGTAGTTTTTTGTGCAGAGTTGACGAAGTATCAAGGAGAGGGAGAGGGAGAGGGAGAGGGGGGAGAGGACTTTTCAGGAGTGAAGATATTACAGCGCCGAGTCGAAGTGCTCCCAATAAGTGCTATTCCGCCATACACAGGGTTCCCGCGGATCCTTAAAAAGTCTTAAAAAGTCTTAAATTAGATTTTTAAAATTTAAGGCCATAAAAAGTCTTATAAAGTCTTATTTTTACTTATGAAAGGTCTTAAATTTTAGATGACACTTTGACTTAGACATATTTAAAAGCTTTCCAAATTAAAACCATCTAATTAGCGTACGTATTTTTATTTATTTATTATTCTATCTTTGTGGATTTGCTAGTTCACGTGACATTTCGCGTCACTCGCGAGTCGCGGCAGCATAACTGTCTCCTGCACGCGAGAGGAGAGAAGGAGAAGAAAGGTCGTAAATGTCAGTTCAGTTGTAAGTTCATTCTTTATGTGCGTATGGTGTGCGATGTGTATTGTCTATTATGATATTGTAATCATTGTTTTAACAATGTACGAGGCACTGCGAGCTGACATCGCATTTGTCTCGTGCTTTCACTGCGTGATGTGTGCAGTGTAACTGTTATGTCCCCAAGTTAGTTTTTGTCTTATATTTATATCATATTATGTTCTTATATTAGAATATCACATCAGAAAGAGTGCCGTTTTCCCGTGCACAATTCCAATTGTGATATTTATGTTATACAACAGTTAAATTAACAATAAGTTAACATTGAGTTACTTTTTAGACACAATATTGTCAATATTGTTTGTTTTCCCTTTATTTCGCCGACTATAATTTCAAAATGAAACCGTAGCAGAGTCTCAATGCAACCGACAGCGATTATTTCTTGACTGAAATCCGCGTTTTGAACGAATCACTTGCTTCTTTCCCGAAAGAATCAGCCGTTTGAACGAATCGGTTGAATGCATGACTCCCTCAACTCACTTATTAAGACAGTGATTTGCCGCTGCGGTTTCATATTTAAAGTACCCTTTAAATAAAATGTTAAAATTAGAAATCATTTCATATTTAAATATTGAATATTGATTTAAAAATATATATCTCATAGCTTTATTTATGCAGTTGTAAATGGAGTGTAAATAAATTAATGCCACTTCTGATGCCGCTTCTGTCACCTCTGCACTGCAAAGATGGATTTTGATTGAATGATTTAATTTGACTGTAACAGTGGTACTGTATGATTATTATATAATTAAGTATTATTGTATAATTACTGTATAATTTAATTTGAATGATAGTATTTGACATTAAAGGTGATGCATAACTCTAAATAAGTTTAGAAAAAATGTCCATATATAGGTGAAAATGCCCCTGAAAAAATCAATTTAAGCTGGCAAATATTGCCCCTTAATTAAAATATTAATTTCTGTCACTGCTGTGAACTGACCACTGCATAGAATATGAAAAATATGAATATCTTCGTGAGTCAGCTGTCAACAACAGACCTAAACCAGCCATGGCACCAGCACAAAAACACAATCAGTAAAATATCATCTAATTATTATCAACAAAATGTTGAAAATATCAAGATATATTTTTGTCAATACTGCACAGCCCTAATGTACGGTATTAATTTTGATTTCTTCAGGTCTTAAAAAGGTCTTAAAAAGCCTTAAATTTGACTTTCAAAAGTGTGCAGGAACCCTGATACATTATAGTTATCCATTTTACCCGCTTATAAAAAGCGCCACATTTTATTTAGTGTCACCATACTTGGTCGTGTAACTACTCGTGTAACTATATTTAAATAGAGAAAACGTGGATGTGTTTGGTCGCTTCTAACTTCATCTCTGTTTGGCCCATATACAATGAATGGGGCTAAGCTAACTGCTCTCAAAGTTCTCCGCCCGACAGAGCGATTAAGTGCACGCACTGAGACGAGAGAGGTATGTATCAACTCATCTTAGATAAGAGAATAACATAGTTTAATATGAAAAAACGGTGGAGTATCCCTTTAACCAATTGACTTCTTATACCAAACGTGATATTGATATTTGTTTTGCACTGATTTGATGTATCTAATTACGAATGGATGCCAATTGTACATTTAGTCTTAGGTAGTCGCTTGAGAAAATGTATCTATTGTTCACAACATAATGGAGGTTTACTCCATTATTAGTTCAGTCAGTTCAATAGGTCTCTGATGGCAGAGAGGAGGCATTTTGGTACATTATCCTATGCCAGTTTTGAAAATGTGATCCATACTACAACCTTTGGTCAGGAAAGATGCCACTGCCTATGACTACACTGACAAGCAGGGATGCTCCAAAAATGATGACTAAACAGGTAAAATTCGAGTTACGTCTGGAAAGTGTGAGCTACACTGAAAAAGAAGAGTCTTGTTGATTTTCACTTGTGCTACAATCATTGATTGGGAATTCCAAGAAAGAAACAATGTTTTTAATGCTTTTTGAAACACTAAGACATGGTTTCACTACTTTCCAGGCAGCGTCAAGTCAATTTTGTGTCAAGTCTTTGATATTTTCACATGCGAGTTAAAAATGAAATATTGTAGCACAAGATGGAATGTTAATAAAACGTTTTTTTTTTTAACACTAAGACCTTTTCACTACTTTTCAGACAGTGAAAATGCATTTGAATGTGTTTAAAGTTTCAGACAATTTGCAATTTTTTGTAAAAAAAAAATAATTTACCCTAATAGGACAAAGTTGGTTACAAATGACGGCACCCTAAAAAAAGGTCAAAGGTCAGATGTAGAAAACTAATTTTGAAAAATGATTTTAGTCTTTCACAATTAGTTCCATAGAGGGCTAAATTAATTTTAAATATATATTTTTTCCTTTTCGACAATCTGTTGCATCCAGATACAGTTGTAATCAAAATTATTCAACCCCCATTGTAACTCAGGTTTATTGGCTAAATCTACAGACTTTCAGCTGTTTGCAATGAACAAATAAAAACAAAAGTAATTGAAACAGCTCAACACAACAAATGTTCTAGTGGTTTCCTCAAATTCAACTGAAAATGCAACTTTTAATGACTTCTGCAGTCTCAAAATTATTCAACCCCCTGAATAGAATCACTCACGACAACACAAATCTGCAAAACAGGTGTGGTCTCAAGCACACCTGATGCAACTAATTGAGGGCTTCATTAGTTGCACCAGGTGTGCTTGAGCTTGCACATGAGCTATCTGAACTGGCTAGGTTTGTTGAGTGTCACGTTTGAACTGCATGTTAGAAATAGTCAAAAAGTCAAAAGAATGGTCCAAAAAGTTAAGAGAAGATATCATCACCCTTCACAAACAAGGAACAGGATACAAAAAGATAGCGACGGCACTAAATGTTCAGCTTGCACAGTAAGGAGCGTACTAAACGCATGCCAGAACTCCAAGACGTACACCACTACTGACTAGGGGTGTAACGATATTTAAACCGAACCGAAAAACCGCGATACACCACCCACGATACGTATCGCGATACTCTCATGGCGAACCGAACACGCCCCAGCCCCTGCTGCCCCGCCCAGACCCGGCTCATTGCACCTCATGTGTTATGTGTACACAACGAATACAGGGCTGTTGCCTAACCACCATTAACCACATATAATCGCAATAAGCTCAGTGTTTTGTTACTTTTGATAATAAGCAAGGTGTAATCTTTCAAATTATGTCTATTTGATCACGAAATGCAAACAATAAATGCCGTTTTGGCGCTCTTAGATGTGGCGTGACAGATATCACTGTATGCATGCGGCAGCGCGGAGCGCGATCATCTCTTCCTCAGTTAAAGAATAAACATGAATGGACACCCGAAGGTATGTTGAAAGATACAGTATACTGAAAGGCATCATAACTCGTGTAAACACTCAATCAGTGTTTCAACAGCGGAAATACGTCAATAAAACGCTTAGTTTTTCACATAGCTTTATATTTACCTCAGGCAAGTCATTCAGTGTCCACAGCTTGCTGGTTTGCTAACTCTTTCACTAAATAAATGCTATATATTAGCCTATATATTATATTTTACTTAACCTGTTTATGATATCTTGATTATTTAATGTATGTTTAAAATAGTTGTCATGAAAATAACAGCAACTGTGTAAATTATTATATAACAATAACAAATTAGAGTAAAAACATGTTAATGCAAAAATTGCCTTATGTGCAGTTTACATGTTTTCATACAATTTGTTATTTGAATGTTGATTATTATTATATCATTTAGGCTAATAGTCTAGGCTCTGTTGTTAAGCTTTAATGTTATAGTAATGTGCAAGTAAGGGCTGTAGTTTACAGCATTAGCAGATAATTTTGTTATCCTTGAGAAACGTTTACTTGTAATTGAATTAATTTAAAGACAAGGACACAATTTGTTCATTAAAGCACTGTTTAATAAAAAATAAAAGCAATTTTAGCTTTCTAAACCCCCCCACCCCACCGAAATGAACCGAACCGAACCGAGACCTCAAAACCGTGGGACGAACCGAACCGTCAGGTTTGTGTATCGTTACACCCCTACTACTGACCCAAAAGCACAAAAAAAGTCGGCTCCAGTTTGCTCAAAATCATATAAATATGCCACAGAAGTTTTGGGATTCTGTTCTGTTGATATTTTCGGCCCTATGGATATGTCTGGAGGAAGAAGAATGAAGCATATGCTAAAAAGAACACTCTGCCTACATTACAGTTAAGTCAAGTCACATTTATTTATATAGCGCTTTTTACAATACAGATTGTTTCAAAGCAGCTTTACAGAGATAACAGGAAAATAATGCAACAAAGTTTGTTTCCAGAAGAAAATAGCGTCACAGTCCAGCTTAAGTAAGTTCAGTGATGTTTCATTTTTGTTGTAAAAAAGTTATTAATTTAGTTCATTTTTATATATAGCCGCTCTGGAGAAAACCGTGATGTCATCGTCCAGGTCAGTTCAGTTCTCATATAATGGTGTCAATGCAGGCAGATCAATATTATTGTTGAATATTAAATTAAATGTTAAATTTAATGTCCCCAACTAAGCAAGCCAATGGCCAAAAGTTAAGCATGGTGGTGGCTCGGTGATGCTCTGCAGTGGTTTTGCATCCTCTGGCACAGGAAACCTGCAGTGTGTGGAAGGCAAGATGGATTCATTGAAGTATCAGGAAATCCTGGGAGAAAACGTCATGCCGTCAGTGAGGAAGCTGAAGCTTGGGCGACATTGGACCTTCCAACAGGACAATGATCCCAAGCATACCTCAAATTCCATTAAGGCTTGGTTGCAGAAGAAGTCCTGGAAGATTCTACAGTGGCATCACAGTCACCTGACTTGAACCCCATCGAAAATCTCTGGTGGGATTTGAAGAAGACGGTTGCAGCACGCAAACCCAAGAATATTACTGAACTGGAGGCTATTGATCATGAGGAATGGGATAAGATTATTCAGAAACGCTGCCAGAAGCTGGTGTCTGGTCATACATCTTGTTTGCAGCAGGTCATAACAGCAAAAGGGTGTTCTACTAAGTACTAAAGATGTTTGCCATGAAGGGGTTGAATAATTTTGAGTCATTTAAAGTAGCTTTTTCAGTTGAATTTGGGGAAACCACTTGAAACATTTGTTGTGTTGAGCTGTTTCAATTACTTTTGTTTGATTTGTTCATTACAAACAGCTGAAAGTCTGTACATTTTGCCAATAAACCTGATTTGCAATGGAGGTTGAATAATTTTGGTGAATAACTGTATATGTCACAATAGATAAGAAAAGATCTGTCATTACTTCCATTTCATTTGGACTTTTAAGATAATTAAAGTTTTCAGTTGAGGAGTAGTTAGAATTTTTTACTTTAACAAATATAAAATCTAAGGAAGGTCAAATACAAACATTGTTTTTAACTGTACAAAATTATGCTTATTTTTAGAATAATAAAACACATAAGTATAACCAAAAAAAGTAACAAGCCTCTTTCTGAATGGTTGATTCTCTAGGAATGGATGAAGTTTTTAGCAGAATTACAAAATCATATTTTCACATGAAACGGTAACTCCTATACAATTTTTTTTTTTGTTGCTTTTCTTGTCTGTAGCTCAGTGTTTGGAAGTCAGTTGGACATCCACTCCGGAGGGATTGACCTTGCCTTCCCACATCATGAGAATGAGATTGCCCAGTCTGAGGCGTATCATCAGTGTGAACAATGGGGAAACTACTTCCTGCACTCCGGTAATGCCCTCAGTCTTCTGGTTAAGAAGTAGTAATGGGTAGTAATATTTTAATGAGCATACTATATTTTTTTGCAGCATAGGATCTGTGAATATTTAGCTTTACGGCTCGTAAAGCTCTATTTAATGGAAACTTTGTTTTTAAGGACACCTTCATTTGAAAGGAAGTGTAGAGAAGATGTCAAAATCCTTGAAGAATTATATAACTATAAAGGTAACAAATTATAAAAAAATAAAAATTTAAAAGTATGTGTTCTGTACGTTTAATAGACAATAGTGTCTTTTAAATCTAACTCTCTTTATAATCTAGGATTTTCTGGCATCTTACACTGCTAATGAGTTTCGACTGTTTTGCCTTCTGACCAAATACAGATCAGGTTTGTTACATGCTGAAAGGGACTCCTGAAATAGATACTCCTACAAAGAGACAGATATTCTACATTTACTATACATTTTCTGTGGGTCTTTTAACCTTTCCAGCAATTGACTATAGTGATGCTAGCATGTATGAAGCCCGATCTACCTTGTCCACCATCTCTGCCTTCTGCCACAATGCACAGGCCTACATGCAGGGCCATTTACAGAGCCAGCCTATAGAGGAGGGACTTCTCTGGGAGAGGTAAAGACAGACTCTGATATACATTTATATGAGCTGTGTCATGAAAAGGTTTTATATCCAGTCACTGCTCCCGTCAGTTTTGTGTTTTGGATGTGATCCAAATCCTTGTGTTATGGACGTCACCATCTATGATAGTTACTTCAGATGCTGTCACTGTGGTTGCAAGTGTTAAGGACCATTCACACCAAGGATGATAACTATAACGACAAAGTTCTAATATTCAAAGATATAGTTCTTAAAATCATTATCAATGTAAAAGAATAGCAGAGTCCAAACCACAACTACAACGATAACGGCATAGAGAAACAATATCATTGGAATCACTTTCAGAACAATTTTTTCCAGTTGATGAACGATAAAATTGACTAGGTGAAAAAGCTGATGATAAAAAAGCCTTTGTCTCCTCCTCCTTTTTGTCTTCACTGTCTTTTTGTCAAGGTTATCTGCTACACAGACCAGTGTTGGGAAAGTACTCGCTGATGATTTTGACACCCCAAAAGCTGTGGATGCCATTATGAGCCTCATTCACCATGGCAACTGTCAGCTTCAGGCTGTTACTAAGGTAACATCATAGGGTAGGTCACTGAGGCCTCACATTCGTTATATCCTCATTACAAAATATTATATTTCAAACCTTAATTTATATTTATTAGTCAGACTAATTTTACTGTATTTTTTGTGTTTGGAAGGTTCATGGGCCTAGGAGTCCTGTTGTATTTGGAGCCATGCTGTCCTATGTCAGGGAAATCATGGATGTTTTTGGAGTTGATCTACTGGATGAAAAGGTGAGAGATCAAACTTTCTTTTCTTTTTTTTTCAATGTTACATTTCAAAATAAAATTGGTTAATTTTTCATGAATAGGAGAAATCGTGTTATAAAATAAATTGGCACCCTGCACCCTACAAAGACAGCGACCTTAAAATAAAGAATTCAATACAGGCCCCATCCACACTACTGCGTTTTAGTTTAGAAACGGATAATTGAAACGAATACGATCTCCGTCCACACCAGCGTTTTAGCTGCGTATTAGAATTGATCTCCGTCCACATTAAAACGACTGAAAACGCGGATCACGTGACCTTTCACCAACACTGGGCATGCGCGTGCCGGTGTAAACACAACTTCATTGATAAAATTATCCCACCATGCTCTGGGTTAACCCCAAACCGACGCTCCATGTACGGTCAACGCCGTCGCTGCACACGGGAATTGTCACAGATCGCTCGAATAATAGCTTGACTCCGGCGCATGTAGGCAGTTATAGCGTTGTAAAATGCAGAATTTACTTGTACAACAGCTGCTAGCAAAGATATACGCCATGACTGATGACACCCAGTCATAGAGCCGAGCGTGAGCCTCTACTGCGTCATCGTTTCTAAAGTCCTCCGTTTTGACTCGTCTACACTAAAACGCCCTCCGGAGATTCAAAACGAAAAACAGATCGGCAGCGTTTCTAAACTTCTCCGTTTTGGGTCTCCGTTTTTGCCGTTTCAGTGTGGACGGGAGGTGCAAACGTAGCAAAAGGTCTCCGTTTTTAAACGAAAATGCAGTAGTGTGGACGGGGCCGCAGTCACCCGTGTACAACGTTTAACAGTTTTGACTTCACACAAGAGGTGTTAGTTAAATAAACATAGCAAGTTACACAAGAGCTAAGAGATCACACAGCAACACGTCTGAAGCAGGAGAGGGAAACTTGAAGAATGGAGATCCTCACACCGCTTCTATCTAGTGCAGCGGCAGCCGCTGACTCAGAGCCTCTCCGATCTGCCCATATAACCAGCTTGCCTGTCAAACACTGATGAGCACAGAGAACAGGAAAGGAAACAAACATACCTGCACACTCATATACACTCCCACACAATAATATGGACATGTTATACTTAGAAACAGTTACATCCAAGGACGTTTTTTTTTTGTGTGTGTGTTCTAGTACAGCCTTTCTCAAACTTTTTTCAGTCGGGGCACCTTTCAAAAGTGCATAAAATCTCAAGGCACCCCAGTGTAAAATATAAATTAAAAACACTGCATAACCCAAATGTAAATGCAAATGTCCTGTTTATTTAGACAGAACAGTAATGAACAGAGCATAATACGAACTGTAAATAACAATAACAATAATAACAATGATCGATTTTTGAGACATAAACGTTCATTGAATCGATTGTAAAATCGATTTTCCATGTCTAAAGACGTTTCCATTTTCAGCGCCAAATATAGGCAAATCCACGATTCCACGGACAACTAACAGGCATTAGCACGAGCGTAAAGAGTGCGCTTGAAACGCGCACAAGTCAGCAATATTTCTGATGATTTATTGGCATGAAGTTTCGTGCACAATGACAAACAGGAGTGCAAGATTCTCGAAAAACAATAAGCAGAGTGGACTGCCATAACATCAATGAAAAACATTACTGCAGGCTTCAACATGGCTGTGTTTACGATTAGAATTCACGAGTTCACACTTACAAATAAGTCAGATAGAATAAATGCGTATTTGGCGTGCTGTCCGAGGAGAGGGCTCCGAGTTAGGTATTCGGCCCGAACCCAGAGCACTCCCCCCGTATTCCTGGCTGTGAAATAAATAAATAAGATAAGCCAAGAGTGAGGAGTCGGGGTGGTGGAGGGATGCTGAAACTGTCAAGGAATGCTAGGTGAGTTGACAGAGTGAATATTTATATGCTTCCTTTCGTGCTGATAGGGTAGCCATGGTAATTGTTTGATGACAAGTTGATTGGAATGATTATTTGAACGTGCTCCTCCCGAACTTTGTTTATAAAACATCATATGTCAAACAAATTTCGCCTACGTAGGCGATTGTAGGCCGGATCTGTATCTGTATGCATGGGACTGTCTGAATACCGGCAGAATTCACATTTTTGTTGTAAAAAGAGACACGTTATGCAGAAGTATAGTATAGTTTGTATGTGTGTTTGTCAGAGCCTGCAGTTGCTGTGTGACGCGCGTTCGCGCGGTCGGTGTTGTTGCTATAGGTTGCGTCAAGTTGTGTGTGTGTCTTGCTTCGGTCTTGTGAGACGGATTTTTATGGTTAATTTTATATATATATATTTATCTAAAATGAATTTACAATTTTATTAATACGTTCATATGTTTAAAAAGAAGAAGAATGTATTTATGTAAATTCAAATATTTATATATATATATATATTTTTAGCCTACGTAATTTTTTGGCGGCACCCCTGACAAAGTCAGGGGGCACCCCAGTGTGCCGCGGCACCCACTTTGAGAAAGGCTGTTCTAGTAGATGCCTCATATTTCTTTGATATCTTACATTATTTTCAACATTATTTCCTTTGACCAGAAACCAGAGTTTTCATACGCACAACCGGCACATCCGGGAACTTAACTGTCAATTTCGTCCCCGCCCCTTTTTGGGGGAAAACAAACTAGACTTTCCATAGACTTCAATACAAAATAACGGCAAAAAACAACGTCCGTACACAGCCGGCAGGCGTAAATAACTTAAGAAATCAATTATATAAAACATGTCAAGTAATTATATGTCCACCCTGCCTGCCATAGAGCTTGAAAGATACATACACAAACTTAATTTGGTCAATTTAAAAACATGTCCCTTTATTCTCCCAGCATCAAATTGGTGTAACAACCCCACCCAAAGGGGTTATATATATTATAAGATATATTATAATGTATATTATAAGACATAATATATACATTTAAAGATGCTTACATTCAAAAACGAAGTAAAATCATTCACTGGCTTACCATGGTGACTCGATGAGGTACGACTACAAGTAAATGTCCGGGAAAGACACCTCTGGCCACTGGGTGGGGTTGTTACCATAGACAGTAAAATAATTAATTATTAAAATAAATAATTTGAGGCTGGGAGAATGAAGGGACATGTTTTTAAATTGACCAAATTAAGTTTGTTGATGTATCGTTCACGCTCTATGGCAGACAGGGTGGACATATAATTACTTGACATGTTTAATCTTAGTGATTTCTTAAGTTATTCACGCCTGTCTGCTGTGTACGGATGTTGTTTTGTGACGCTATTTTGTATTGAAGTCTATGGGAAGGCTAGTTTATTTCCCCCAAAAGTGGGCGTGAACCTTTTCAGAGACATTCTATGACGCAGCGCCGGTTGTGCGTATCTCAGCCAAGACATTTGCATAAATTATTTTCTTCCTTGTAGACATTGACGTCCTTTTTCTTTATAGATATTAAATCATTGCAACACATGATGTTTTAATAACAAATTTCGGGAGGAGCACTTTCAAATAATTAACCTAATTAACACAGGAGGAGCACATTCAGTTAATCAATTCAATTCACGACATAAGAGGTATACACAGTATACAGCAGACTTGCCTTTGTTCCGTTACAGTTTCCCAGCATCCCTCCACCACCCCATCTCCTCACTTTTGACTATTCCTATCCCAACTTGGGATGAGGAAGTATTCTGGGTTCGGGCCAAATTCTGGGCTCGGAGCCCTCCCCTCGGACAGCACGCCAAATACGCATAACCTTTACACTGTTTAATTATACTGTATGTAAGTGTGAACTCTTACATTTCAATGCTTTTACACTGTGTCCCTTAGGAAGTCCATGATTCCTCCGGAATTTTGAATAATGTGGTGGAGGAGTTGGTGCATTTTCGGAGTGAGGTTCGTAAATTTGCACTTTCTGTGCAAGACCAAGCTCCACAAGACCCCAAGCCTGGCAGTGAAATGCAGAAAAGTCATCCACAGCCAGACAGAATACCCTTGCTGAAGGCCTGTGATGCCTTAAGGAATAATCTAGCACCCCTCGGAGTCCACATTAAGGTAAGATTTCATCCTGTTAGACTAAGGCTGTTTCTCAATTCCAAGAACGGACTTGCGTTCTCGGTGAGACTGGTCTTGCCAGGCGACCTTGAAAAGAACGAGCTGGGAAGGACGCGAAGACACAGAATGCATCTGTGTGAGAATTGAGATGTGCTGCGTTCTTGCTGCTAAACTGAACATCTCAGCAAATGGCGATTAACGACCAAACCACAATAAATGCAACATAGCATCACAAACAAATGTCACAACCTATTAAACATTTCTTTCATATTATTATAGACATTTTTTTCATATGTTTATTTTTTACTTTACCGTGTGTTTATGGTTCGTCAATGTTAGATTCTTCTTAATATGCCAATAAAAATACTGCCGCTTTCTTAAGGTCTTTATCACTTTATTAAAATTAAGCAAAAGAGATGGACAAATGGTTACTTTCACGAGCTGTCATGCATTTCAAACTTGCAGCGGGAATCTTTTATTTGAAAACGAGAAGTTTAAAGCTTATAGGCTTCCGTACTTCGACTGCTCGCAGCGTCTTCTGGGATTTTTAACGGTTCGATTCTCTCAAGTCTGCATTCGATGCCTCCTCTATCAAGAACACATCCGGGCACTTTCATGCGTCCTCTGTACTTGTGTTCTTGAGTATTGGAATTGTACTTTGACGGTTGATGATGACGTTGTACGAGAACACAAGGACGCAAGATCGCTGAAGAACGCATATTGAGAAACAGCCAAAGTGCAGCAGAGCCTTCAAAGCCTCCAACACGTACTGTCAAAGCACATTGCAAGGCTTATTGTGGTTAACGGTGCTAATATTTTGATTTTGGTTTCAGGATAGAAGCACAATCTCCACTTGGGAAATTACAAGAGGAGAGACGAGGAAGAATTAACCACTCACTGAATTGGACCAATCCTTTATCTATTAGAACTTGGACATGCTGTTCTCATGAAGCATCTCATCGGTGACTTCAAGTTTTTCTTCAAAGAAATTACAGTTCAACTGAAGACACTTTAAAAAAAATCCAGTTATTACCTAATAACTATTATCCAACTAAAGTTGGAACACAAGTGTAATCATAACCACATATTAAATCTGTAAATGTTAATAAAACAACTCTGTTCATAGTTTATCCTCAAGTAGAGCTTAACCCTTTCTCAACCATTGTTATACAGAAATAACTAAAGCAAAGGATCCTTATTGAGCTCCACTGGCTCAAGGTCAGAATGGAATGGTACACACTAATCATAACAATGTTACAAGTTAGGGCAAAGTTATTCACATTTGGCTACTTGATGTTTGATTGGTGGAAGACTTGTGTGCAGTGTCTATTTTCACATAATTTGACATATGTTTTTTTTTTTTTCTGGAAAGATTTATTTGATATTAGAGCATATTCTGTAGTGTTTCTCTTAAGACCTCTGTACATTCAAAAGAATTATACCACTGTTTTAGCAAGACAGGCATTTTTGACTGAACTATCATAATGTCTGAAAATGATACAATACTATTTGAAAACAAAAACTTTTTTATAATGCTCATTTGTCAACATGGTAAGCAGTAGCCTATAACATTTGAAACTGGTTTTGGAAAATCAAAATGGACCACTGTCATTAAGTTTCCTCCTTAAATGGGGAATAATAATAATAATTCATTACATATATAGCGCTTTTCTCGGCACTCAAAGCGCTTTACAGGGAATCTCCTCAACCACCACCAATGTGCAGCATCCACCTGGATGATGCGACGGCAGCCATATTGCGCCAGAACGCCCAACACACACCAGCTTATTGGTGGAGGAGAGACAGAGTGATATTAGATATTAGTGATATTAGCCAATTAGTGTAAGAATAAGAGTAAAATATGTTAGAATAAAAAATAATGAAGAAAACTGTCTAAATACTTATTAATGAACTCAAATTAGGCCTGGGAAGCAGTCATTCCTCTAATTTCGTTCACCTATAGACATAAATAACTTGGGGACAATCGGAGAAGATTCATTTATAAATATAGTTTTTTTTTTTTTTTTTTTTTTTTTTAAATCTGCCTTTTGACTTGTGTGACGAGATTTTCAGTTTAAATCGGGAGTCAGGACTTTTTTGCATTGTGCCATTGGTCTTGAGTTTCCTGTTGCGTCAGTGCTAGAAGTGAACTTTTAAGTGCTTTGACATGGACCGTGTTTTTAAGCTCGAACAAGACCATTTCAAAACACTTAAATATCTCGGAAGACCTGGTGAGAATCTGCTCCTTAAGGTTTTTGTACGATATAAGCCAAAACTGATAACCACCAGACGGTAAGAAAAAAACGAGGAAACCTTTAGCGCGGAGTTGGAAGTCTAAAATCATTTTGAGTGTCCTCTCGGTTGAAATCATGTCTCCACCTGGGAAAATGAGAAAGCCCGATATTAAAATGGTTGTCATAGGAGACATGAATGTAGGGAAAACGTCCCTGCTGCATAGGTACACAGAGAGAAACTTTAAGGACACTTTGAGCACAATTGGTGGAGCATTTTTCTTGAAGCAGTGGGGTCCATACAACATCTCCATCTGGGATACAGCGGGTAAGATCGATATCCAAATGTTATACCTTAATTTTTATTCTGACCATAGATGACCCAAAATCTCATCTCAGGACTTTTGATGAATGGCTGCGTAATTTTTAATTAATCTTATTCAACTTTTGTGAGGTTTAGTCAGTCAAAACAGTTTTGAGTTATTTATCTAATTTTGTGTTTCTGGCCAAAGTATGATGTATTATGTTGATTATCAAAGTTATTTTATCTATATTTGTTAATGAGGGATTTGTGGAGTAAACGTTCTATTTTGAAGTAAAAAGATAAAAATAGACCCTTGGGGTAAGATGACCCACACCCCAGAATTGGCACATGTTGTTACTAGTGTTATTATTTTAAAATTGAATAATTATTGTAATTAATGAGGTTATTTTCAGTATTTCCATGAATTAGATGTACATTTCAGAAATCTTTGCTTTCATTAAAACCTATAGGCTAGTTGAGTGAAATCATTACATTTGCATTCATAGTGTTTCTATTATGACATATCTTCAATTAAAATATGCTGGCAATTAAATGTAAATATTCCCTGTAGCCCTATTTTAAAACATTAGTCATATATATTTTAGAGTTTTACAGCTCTAGTTGTTGTATTCTTTTAAATGTCAAATTGTGGTATTTAGATTTAGAGCTAGTTGATCCGATTGTGATGAAATCAAGTGACAAACCTTAGTCTTGTGTTATTACGGAATGTCCCTGATCCATCCTATGTCACGATCCTGAGATGTCGATTCTGTTCATCATCTAAATAAATCTGATTGAGTAATTATATATGATCTGCCAAAATTAACTATAGTTCTATGAGGGGGAAAAAAATTGTCTATTTAAAAAAAAAATATATTTTTCTAGTTTCTAAAAGCAGCGTGGATGAGTGACGATAAGCACGTTGCCATATTGCATCAATGACTGCAGTTATCTCGTGTTCTTTGCAGGATTTTGTAATCTTAGTAGTTTCAGCAATGAATGTGGATTTTTTTTTACACTTGTGTTTTTGCTGAAGCGCTTATAGTAAAGAGGTAGTTTGCCCAAAAATGAAAGTTCTGTCATATTTACTCAACCTCATGTCTTCCAAACCCCAATGCTTTTCTTTATTCTGTGAAACAGAAATTATTGACAATGAGACTAGGTGAAATGTTCATACTCTAGTCTATTCTATACAGTGAAAGCAAAAGGTCTTCTGAAGTCATACTGAAGTGGCAGCTTTGAGTGAGGAACAGACATTTCACAGCTGAATCTGCACTGTCAAAAAAAGAAAAATTCCACTGACCCCATAAATGATCAGAAAAAAACTTGACCTTGAGATGGGGTTGAAAAGGGAACATTATTTGATTTAATTGTTAGTAGAATGGCTAAAAGAACTGACCACGATGTACTTACCTCATTGATGAAGGAAGGAGGGAAAGTAATAGGTTAGCAAAACATGAAAATTTTGCATTATTACATTTTTATTTTCATTTCACACAAATACAAATTTTAAAGAGTCACAAATTGGACTGACAGCTTACAGACTCAGCTATTCTGTCACAACAGTTCTCAAGGTGAGGGCATTGGAGGGCAAAATTACTGAATAACTTATGTTATATACGTGTGTGTTTATTTATTTATATAGAAATATGCTACTCTTGGACTGTAGCCAGTTTTTAATATATGTGATCTATTCATCTCTGTTTTTCTGTGCTTCTGATTCCATCAGGTCGTGAACAGTTCCATGGTCTGGGCTCCATGTATTGTCGTGGCGCTGCAGCCATCATTCTCACGTATGATGTCACAAACTGGCAGAGCTTTGTAGAGCTTGAAGATCGCTTCCTCTCTCTCACTGACTCTGCCAATAGTGACAGCATATTTGCCATCGTGGGCAACAAAGCAGACCTCACTGACCCTCAAGCCCAAGTTATGACCCCAGAGGAAGTCAGGGCAGAAGAAGGTAGTGTACTTCCCCTTCCATCCTGCCCCACACCCCCAGACTTTCCCTTGCACAAACAGGTGAATCAGGATGATGCCATAGCACTTTACAACCGCATAATACGCTATAAGGCATTAGAGGGCATCAGTCCACCAGCAGAGAAGATGTGCTTCGAGACAAGTGCTAAGACTGGATTTAATGTAGACGGTATGTTCGAAACACTCTTTGATCTGGTGTTGCCATCCATCATTCAAAAACGCTCCCAAAGTGAGTCACCCACATTGTGTTTGGAGGACTATGATGAAGAGGAGAGGAAGAGTAAAGGGGGCTGTTGCACATGAGAATATTTGCTGAAGAGTGTTTGGAGTCATGCATGAACATCCATCGGTTTACGGACACTGTTACTTGACAGAACTGTTTACTCGCATCAAATCTTGTACGTTGTCACAGTAGCCTCAGCTTTGGCTCATTAGTGTGTGTGTGTGTGTGTGTGAGTGTGTGTGTGAGAGAGAGTCTCTTTATATCTACAAGATAGTCTTGTTTTTCACAAATCGAGCACAAGGACTTTGAACTTAAATTACTCAGTGTTTTAGCCCTCAAGTTGTTTATGTTCTTCTGAACACATAGTCTCCCTTTTTACAAAGGTGTCAAATATTAACAAACGTTTACTGTTACCAAGCATACTTTTTTTTAAATCTTTTTAAAAATGATTTTATTTTAAATTAACTTGCAGTAAGTAAATTATGAAAATGTGTATTTAAACTGTTTTATTGACGTGATTGTCATTTAATAAAGGTTTATGAAAACAATTATCACTCAACAACGGTGTGCTTTGAAGTTATTGATAGGTTTGTTTTTAACTTTCACTCTTTTCCACTTTTATAGTCTACTGTCATTACAATTCTTTGCACTCATTTAAAACTGGGTCATCCTTGTTTTTTGTGCAAGTAATGTTACTACAATGTCTCAGCAGTAGAGGTCGCATAACACTGAGAAAAGGCTAAAGGTTAAAATGCATATGCACGCTAGCATGGCTTGCTTGTGTAATTATAGAAGCAAGAATAGAATAGAAGTTGTAGAATAGAACGCTCTGAATCCTAAACATTCATTGCAAATCGAAATATGGGCTCCTTGCATACGACACACTAATGGAAATTGTAATTATTAGGTGCCCTTTAATTTTTTGGTGTTGTTTCTTGTTTGTCAAGTCACATTAATTTGTTTGTGTCATAATAATTATGCAACAATTGTATATTTACCCCAACATTCCAAAGAAAGTAGAATTGTGTTGTTTATTATCTGGGTTTGTCTACTGCTCCTGCTCAGATTCATCTGTGATGTAACATTTGCCCTGAATTAAACACTCATTAACTTGAGAAGCAGAGCCTGGAATGTGCATTGGCCACACTTCACCTGCTGATGTAGCCTGACTACGTCAGACTTCGTACTTCCGCTCAATTTCAGTTCGCTTCTGTACTCTCAGTCTGAGATAGCGACCTATCTCAGTTTTCCTCCGGCCTGAAAACAGCCGGCCAATCAACGAACAGAGGGCGGGCTGAGAGCCGTGACGTGGACGCTAAGCGCAGAGTTTAAGATTGTAGTTGAGGTTAGGAAAATCGAAAACGACCGCGGATATGGAGATACGGGATGCAATTGACCCTTCGCTAAGCCACGCCTGAAAACCGCCACTGGCCAATCGTGTCTTAGCAACCGTAACTAGGCGCGGGAGGTCTGGCAAGCTTTCGAGCGAGGAGCGTTGTGTGCGTATGGATTGTGCAAATCTGATACCCGGTATCCTAAAAGTTTGGAATTGTTTTCCTTCCTGAAAAATCTAAAAGCCAAGGGGAGAAATGATGGGCGTGGATCAAGCAGTGTGGGAGACCCCGTTCACAACTATGTCGACAGGATTAACAAAAACACCTATTACTTGGAAGTTAGAAATAATGACGGCTCTTTGTTCATAATGCATATATTTCAACGTAAAATAAGACGATTAAAGACAAGACGGAGGGTCACTGACATACTTTAAAATATATTTAAGCATTTTGTTAATCGACGGCCTACTACCCCTGACTGAGTAACGTTAACTTTACACTAACACTAACTCCCGGTGTTAGTGTTATTCCACAAGATTTATGGATAAATCTGGATAAACTGTTTGATTTATAATTATTAGATTATTTTCACATTTCACTTACCCTGCTGTGCACGAACATAGCTGTTCCTCAATTTGTGTGTTTCCCATTTGAATGATCAGTGTGGTGGCAATTTTAATGATATTCATTGATCTTTAGTTAAATATAGATGATTCAAAGAATGTCACATGTGTGTCTCTCACTTGTAGTGAGAGAAGATTCTGTTTATGTACCTGGGGAGGCAGAAGAGGGAGACACTCCAGAGAACAGACGAACAAGGACCTCTGACCTAGATGTCAGAAGGCCATTTGGTGCAGGGGAGCTTAGTGGGCCAACTAGTGACGTCTATGGAAAACTACTGGGAGGAAGGCTCTGGGGGGAAGAAGGCCTTGAAACTAAGATAAAAGCTAGTTCAGTCTGTCTGGGGGTGTGTCACTCTTCTGCACAGGGTAACAACTGTGTATTAGACTGCTCCTATTCTTGCAAGAATAAATACTTCTATTTTATATAATTTGACTCTGAGTGTCTCTTACGCAGTGATGTTTGTTTGAGATGAAGGTTTGCCACAACAATCAGCGTATGAGGCGGTTGCTGTTTGCGCTGGGAATATAGGCTTTAGCTTCAATTTTTAAGAAATTGTTCTCTAATCGGTTGCATATTTTGTCGTGGATATATATCCCTCGAATGCATACTGCAGTCCCTTTTGTCTTGCTCTCTCAGATATTTCAAATGTTCGCCAAAAATGACTAATTATCTCATTGGGAATGTCTGACACTGGTGCATACACACTGTAATAGACGTGCCAGCCGCGAAAGCTTGACAGGCGTAGCAACAGTAACTACGGAGGGCAGGGCTTAGCGAAGGGTCAATTCGCTTGTGGAGAATATTACCGACATTTGCAAACTGAAGCCCGAACAAGAAGAGTGTTTGTTAAACATTTTGAATGGAGGTGATGTTTAAGTTGGAGAGAGAGGTGATTGCGTTATGTGATTGGCTTACGGGTAACCAATGATTTTATACTTCAGACAAGCCACCCCCCCCCCCCCCCCCCCCACCCCCCCGCGAGAAAGAAAACACTTTTCAATTATGCCATTCCAGACTCTGTCTACGAAGCAAAGCGACGTAGCAGAGTTTGGTATTACCAGGCTACTGCTGATGCAGCAGAGCTCCACATTCTCTTTCCAACAACACCCGTATACCTTCAACATTCAGTTAGAGAATGCATGTAATAAAACAAAAAATACTCTGGCTGCTTGTGTCTGAGTGTGTCCTTATAAAAAGAAGTCACTCTTTCAAGTGACTATGAATTGCAAGCCTCTGACAGTGACTGTATCAAATTTATTGTTTTGAAAGTACATGACATTAGACATAAGATAGTAATTACAGTTTTTGTTTGTTTGTTTTTTACAATCGCTAGCACCTATTTCTCAATACTTTTTCAAAACTCTTCACACAGTGAACACAACAGCAGTCTATGTGCTCTAAACTGTGGATCATATATCTTTGCTTTGGCACAAAATGCATTCAATGACTACATCTTTCAAATAACTAAATACATTTATTTTCTCATTGAGACACAAACACAGCCAAAACTCTATGTACCTACAGGCCAATTTGCACAGTTACATACTCTTTTCAAAACTGTTAAACTTAAGTTCAAAACCTAATACAAACATGAATTATATATTTCTATATTATATTCTGTACATCTATACATTCTATATTTCTACAGTAATACCATATTGAAATATATTCTAAATATAAAATAAAAAACATATTCTATCAAAGCAATTTGTAGTTGAACACCTAAACAGGTGTTAGTCTTAGGAATTATTTTGTACTGCAATGTAAACATGGACTATGTAATATACTGCAGTGAATTATAAGCAGTAGAGAACTGTTGTTGTGAACTTTTCCCTTCTAAAGTGTAGGAAACTCAGAAGCGAAGACCAGGAGATTTGGGTGTATCTTTTTAAGCAGGGTTCTTTATTGCTGTTGCATTGCTGTAGTCTGCTTCGTCCAAAAATCTTAGCCAAGTCTGACTAAGGGCGTTTTCACACCTGAAAGTCCGCACCAAGGTCCGAACCAAAGTTCACGTTTTGATACAAGTTTTGGTTTGGTTTCACACTGCAATTATGCGAGCGCACTAAAGAACTTTACGTGACATACTTGCGTCCTGTCGTCATCATCTATGTGAGCTGCATCTCGACATTGATTGGTTTTGTAAATGGACGTGCGTCTGACGTCAATGTGTTGTCAATTCGGCGGGTAACTTTGACAACATGAATGAACAGACGCATATCGTTGCAACTATATTGTTATTTTTATGGCATAATTACCTGCAGCACCAACTATACACAAGGCTAGTTCAAATTCGCCAAATGAACGTCCTCGTCGTGCGAACATTTTATCGTCGCCGGCAGGAAAGGAGGAGAAGACTGCAAGTTGACTTCTTATTATGTCATCAGACATAATAAGAAGTCAATTAAAAACCTCGTCTCCTCCTCTCCCCATGTGCTACGGCTCATTTTTCCTTCCACCTTCTGTTTTTTCGGCTATGCGGGAACCACCAGAACTTCATGTAAAAGGTCTGAAAGTCCGAACCATACAGAAATGCTTTCACACTATAAACGAACCAAACCTTTGTTCAGTTTGATCCGGACCGAGACTACCTCTTTTCGTCGAACCAAATTTCATCTGTTTGGTCCGGACCGTGGTCCGGGGTAGGTTTCACACCTGTAATTTTGATTCGGACCAAACTGAAAAGTCCGAAAGTCCAGACCAAACAAGGTAGGTGTGAAAGGGCCCTAAGGCAGTATACATTGTAGTTGAGATACCTTTCAAGGGGGAGGGGTTACACAAGGGCGGACTGGCCATCTGGAGCACCGGGACTTTTCCTGGTGGGCCGCTGGCCAATGTGGGCCGGCCCGGTACACACATATATATATATATATATATATATATATATATATATATATATATATATATATATATATATATATATATAAAATTACGGAAATCATAATATTACATTTCTTTTCTACGCAAATGGATGAGGGAATTGATCGCGCGGGCGCGGCCGACAAGGAGTGTGTTTCGTGTGCATGCATGTGAGTGTATTGCCCTCCCTCCCTGTTAAGTTTGGTCTACTCCATTGCGTATCTTGAAACACGCCCTCTTTCACGTCCTGGAAACACACCAAGCCAACGCCGATGAACTAGCGCAGATGAAAGCCGACTGTGTTGTCGCCTCGCATCGCCTGTGTCGTGGGAAAAAAGCTGCACTTGAACACACCGAGAGAACTACAGCCGACTGTTAGCTAGAATGCGCGTTCTGCGCCTGGGTGTGAATGAGACAACTGTCTATTTCTGCAGATAAATTCGTCTATATTCGTCATTCAAAAGGAGAAACCGACGCTGCCGGCTGGCGGCTGCAGATACACACCGTAAACAAAGCAGTGCGTGCTTACCGTTCTGAATATCAATTCTGCTAAACACTTTCTTTATTCCACTCCTCTCATGTTAATATTTAAATATTCGCCAAGGAACACTCAGGTAATATGACGTAACATTAGAACAGCCTTCTATCTGTGCTGTTTTGACTTCTTTGCTCGCTGTTTTGCTATTATTCTCGTGCAGTGCACTGACTCGTTCACTAAGCTGAACAGCCAATCAGAGTTCCCTCTTTCGACATGTCGAATCGGCCGAAAAAAAGCTGACGAGGACCAATTTCATCCGACGGTTAAAAAAAGCATTAGAGGTAGATGCTGTAAAATGCTTCAAATTAACAGATTATACATTTAGCGCGAAGAGTAGCAGTTCAACAGGCTCTGATGGCTCTAGCTCCCCCTGACTAGCTGATATGCTGTCTTGATAGTTTTATATTAATAATGTTGTGTGTCTTAATGTTCTTCTGTTTGTTTCCCTTTGGTTTTACAAATATGACCTAATATATGTTGTGTTACTTAAAATAAATGTTTAAATAGCATTTATTTTTGTATTGTGTTATATTTTTATGCTATAAGTGGTGTTAAAAAATATTCTGCACATTAATGGGCCAATGTGTTATGATTTTGGATGTGGTGGGCTGCTGTGGGCCAGAAAGTCCAGGGCCACTTTTTGGTCCCAGTCCACCCCTGGGTTACATAGAGGTGGAGACACTCTGAAACAAAGCATGTAAATGAGGTATACAGGTTCTCTTACGAGAGTATCTCTCGTACTGCGTAATAGCTTACGCTAGGGGAAAACCTCTTTTCCACGAGATATTGAAGCCAAAAATTATCCTTAATTTTTTATTAATGTAAAACGCTTTGCAGCAGCAAGCAGACACAGGCGATACAGCTCGCGCGCCTATTGGCTGCTCTTGCGGCAAATGCAGCAGCCTATCGAGAGAGACTCTGCGTGACGTAATGACCAATGGGGGCAACTCGCGCCCATATCGTCACGTCCCGCCAGAAAGGGCATGGTCTCACTCTATAAATATGCTCGTTAGGCTGGTACAAGCTGATTTTCATCTCTTCAGCGAAGCACACGCATCGCTGGATCCGGAGTGAGAAGCCGCGCCGTCGAAGCAAGCTTTTCAGCGGGACAAGCTCTGGAGTCGCTGGCCTCGCCGCCTTCAACTGCCGTACCTGCTGCGCTTTCCGGCGTTCTATATCCTTTTGTATCACTTTGTATCCTTACTCTGCTGAGAGTGTTTGCTCGCTTACTTGACGCGACTCACACTTCTCATCACAAAAGAGCTGCGTCTTTTTAAAGATGCCATCCTGTGGCTCGTGCCGCGCCCCACTCAGCGACGGGGACCGTCACGTCATCTGTGTGTCCTGCCTGGGTGAGGATCACGCGGCCATCGCGCTCGCTGACCGCGGATGCCCTCATTGCGAGCTTTTTGCCTATGGTGACTCTGAGGACTCGCCTGGCATCATTCTCCGAGCCTTCACCACAGCCCGCCGTGGTGCCGCGCCGCAAGAAGCGCCGCGCCCAGCGCGCTCCCGAGCTCTCTCCAGCCCGCCAAAGCTCGCCAGTTCGCCCGCCAGCTTCGCCGGCTTCGCTCGAGTCGCTCACTGACGGACAACGGCCGCCGCCTGCCGCCGCGTCCATCCACGAGTTCGACGAACCCACCGAGGCTTGTTCTCTTCTGGCATCTGATAGCGAGGATTGGGCGAGCTCCGTGGACCTCCCCTCCGCTAGCGTTTCCCGCCAAACCACTGGTAAGAGAGCCGGCATTGAGACTGAGCTGATGCGTCTGCTCTCTCAGGCCGTGGAAAGCATCGGCCTCGACTGGGAGGCGCCCGCGCAACCGCCGCGCGAGTCGTCAGGGAAACGGGCCAGCATCAAGACCGCGAGCCCTAAAACCGCGGCTAGCTTTCTTTACGTTATAAGAAATCTACCCCGCCCCCCATCGGCGTGCGTCACCGGCAAATGAGAAAAGAGTGTGTTTTAGTCCCCGCCGAGGCCGGACTAATCTTTATTTCTCAAACATTTCTCAGCTCCTAGTTTGAGCGGCTGAAAATGTCATTATTGCAGCAATGAGCCTGTTGTATAACACGCACACCTGCATACAAACGCCGACACACACAAAACTGTGATGACGCTCTCTTAACTGCTTGCGCTAATGTAGTTCCCCCTGTGGCCCAGTGGCAGAACCCGAAGCCTTCGCGCGAGAGACCCGTGTTGGATCCCGGCTCTTGCAGCAGATAAAAATTTAGTCTCGCCGCGGCCAGACTTCCACCGAAACGTTTCGCTCGTTCAGTTCCAGAAAATGCGACTGTTCCAGTGTATTTTGCAGTAAACAAGCTGGTACCTCGGCCCGCTTGCCTGCACATAAAGGCCGTTTCCACGGCGACCCAGAAAAATCATGTAATCATTGTATTTCTGGTTTTCCGGCCACAGCCGATGGTGTTATAAGTGTAATAAAATGCTCACAGCCCAGTGTTCATTTCTACACACAAACACAGCCCGCCACGGTACAGGGCTCGCACAAATGAAATCGACGCATGTCAATTGTGCATTAAATGTAGTGAATGTGCCCACAACCCAGTGCCCACAAACACTACCACGGTTTCTGTAAAACGAAACCAACACAAGTCTTCCTAGCCTCCTAGGAAATCGACGGTGTTTCAGTCTCGCCGTGGCCAGACTTCCACTGAAATTTTTGCTCGTTCAGTTCCAGAAAATGTGACTGTTCCTGTTATGTTGCCAAATGAACACGTAGATAAACCACTGAAGAAGACCAGGACCACAAGGGACGTTTTTGCATTTTAATTTCTTCTCCAGATGGTGAAAACTGAAAGCATTCACAACATGCTCTTAGAAAAACTGAGCTCTAGACAGACGAGAATAAAGTCATTCATCGGCGCTTTAAAATGCATTTCCCAACTAGACAATACAAAAATACATTACTTAAGATCCTTATAAACAGATATAAAAACTTACGGCATTGCCTTGACAGTGCTTTAAAGGGAATGGCAACAGATCGCTGACCATACGATGTTGGATTTCGCCTGCTCTGTTTACCATGAAACCGAAACCGGAAGTTAGCGCGGCCGCACAGGAAATAAAATTGTCCGCTAATATTTTTTAAATAAAACTTACAAATAAACATGAAATACTTATAAGAAACTCTTAGAAATGCTTTTTAAACATTTAACTTATTTATTAAATGATTAACTGCCTTAAGAACAACACATTCCCCGCCTGACCTCAGTGAGGTCACTATCAACAACAAAAACTTAGCGGGATTCAGTCCTTTGGCAAAAGAAGAATGACTTCAGTAACTGGTCGCAAAAAGGTCTTTCGAGTGCCTTGGTCATTTACTGTGACCTCGACTTTCCTTACTCGATTGTCCTTCCCAGGGAAAGTTGCTGTGACTCTACTCATGAGCCAGCTGTTCCGTGGAACCTGCTTGTCCTTGAGCAAAACAAGGTCACCAACTTGCAGATTTCGACAAGATACAGTCCATTTCTGCCTCTGCTGCAATAAAGGCAGGTACTCTCGCCTCCAGCGTGTCCAGAACTGGTTGGCAAGAGCCTGAACTTGTCTCCATTGCTTGGTGTAAAGGTCCTTGTCCAAGAAATCTCCAGGAGGAGGTATAAGGCACGATTTCTGGGTTAGCAGCATAGAGGGAGAGAGAATGAAGGGATTGTCTGGATCGGACGAAATTGGAAGGAGTGGCCTGGCGTTTATGATTGCAGACACTTCAGCCATAAGTGTGCACAATACGTCGTGAGTGAGTTGCACCTTACTTTGAAGCAGCATTGAATCCAATATTCTCTGTGCAATGCCGATCATGCGCTCCCAGGAGCCTCCCATGTGGGACGCATGAGGCGGGTTGAATTCCCAACTGCAACCTTGATCATTCAGGTATAGTTGCAGAGCTTTGTCCATTCCTAACTCCTTGGAAGCCCCAATGAAATTAGTGCCACGATCCGATATAAGTTTTTTGGCAGGGCCTCTCAGGGCAAAGAAGCGTCTCAGGGCATTTACACAACTGCTGGTGTCTAAGGACTCAATTACCTCCATGTGCACGGCTCTTGAGCTCATGCAGGTAAACAGGATAGCCCAACGCTTACTTTGTGCATGTCCACCTCTGGTACGTCTGGTGGTTACTGTCCAAGGCCCGAAAACATCAAGGCCGACGTAGCTAAAGGAAGGACATGTTTTCAAACGTTCCGGGGGAAGATCTGCCATGAGTTGCTCTTCCTGCTTTCCCCGCAGTTTGCGACAGATAACACACTTGTGGATAACTGAATTAACTAGTCTCTTTCCACCGACTATCCACAGACCTCCAGCCCTTATTGCACCTTCTGTTAGGTGACGACTCTGGTGCTTGACCTGTTCATGGAAGTGGCGAGTGAGCAGGATAGAGACATGACTGTCTTTTGGGAGAATTATCGGTTTTTTTTCAGAGTTCTCGAGCTCTGAGTGTTTGAGTCGACCTCCAACAGAAATGATGCCGTTGTCCAGGACTGGGCTGAGCTTTTGCAAAGGGCTTTGTTTGGTGATGGATTTGCCAACGTTGAGGGCAGACAGCTCCTTTGCGAAGGTGGCCTGTTGCACTTGTTGGAGGATGACCCGTTTTGCTTGATCCATTTCATCTGGTGTACGAGGAAACTGACATATGTGCCACCCTTTGCATCCATGGTTTGAATTGGAGCCGTTGAAAGATTTTGCCATGTGAATGAGGAAGGCGACTGCACGGACCAAAGACTTGAAGGTGGAGAAGCGCTCAAAGCGCTTACAGGAGACTACTTGAAGGTGAGTGGCACAAGTTCTCACTTGTGGCCTGATTTCACAGTCTTTGTCAGGCTCAACTAAGTCAAAATTGTCGTTTTCATTCTTTGCCTCTGGGGGTGAGCGACGGATGAAGGAGGGTCCGGTGAACCAAGTTGTTTTTGTTAGTTGAGATGCTGTGAGCGAGCGTGATGCGTGATCCGCTGGGTTTTCCTCGGTGCGCACATAGTGCCACTGCTCCGGCTTTGAAGACTGGCGAATACGCTGCACTCTGTTGTGAACATATGTGTAGAATCTTTTTGATTCGTTGCAGATGTAGCCCAAGACCACCTTGCTGTCTGTATGAAAGTGAACAGCGTCAAACACTATGTCTAGCTCATTCTTGACAAGATCAGCTATCTCTACAGCCAAGACAGCGGCGCACAGTTCCAGTCTTGGTATTGTGGGCTCTGACTGAGGATTTAGTTTTGCTTTACCCATGACAAACCCTACCTCAACTTTGTCATTTGGATACAGAGCTCTCAAGTAGGCTACTGCACCTATTGCTTTGGTCGATGCGTCTGAAAAGACATAGAGTTATTTGCGCTTTGCCTGACTGAGAGAGGTAGATGTGTACGTTCTTGGGACATGGAGTTCCCTTAAGTCCTGCAGCGAATCCCTCCAAGCTTCCCATTTGCTCTGCTTATCTTCTGGAAGTGGTGTGTCCCAATCAGAGTTTTCTGAGGTGAGTTCTCTGAGTAGAGCTCTTCCCTGAATAGTAACTGGTGCTAATAAGCCTAGTGGATCGAAGACACTATTAACAGATGACAAGACACCTCGGCGAGTAAATGGCTTGTTTCTTGTGGCCACTGAAAATGTGAATGTGTCTGTCATGGTTTTCCAAATTAGGCCTAGACTGCGCTGTGATTGTGTTTCCTCACCACTCAGATCCAGATCTTTCAGGACTGGTGCGCAATCTTCAGGAGAGAAGGCTCGCATGGCTGCTGGTGAATTAGAAGCAAACTTATGCAGGCGCAGATTGGACTCAGCAAGTGAAGCTTGCGTTCTTTGGAGCAAGTCGATCGCTTCGGCTGGAGAAGGCACAGAAATCAGTCCATCATCGACATAGAAGTGTCTCTCCACAAACTTGACTGTGTCAGCCCCATAGTCTTTCACTCCAGCTTCAATGGCCTTGCGCAGACCGTAAACAGCCACAGCGGGAGATGGAGAGTTCCCAAACACATGGACCTTCATTCTATAATCAATGACCTCCTTTTCAACATCATTGTCCTTGTGCCACAGAAAGCGAAGATAGTTCCGGTGATCCTCACGCACCATGAAGCAGTGAAACATCTGCTGTATGTCGGCCATGACAGCAATGCTTTCTTTACGGAAGCGGAGGAGTACCCCAATGAGACTATTGTTTAAGTCAGGGCCAGTGAGGAGTACACTATTAAGTGAGACACCGTCCTCTTGGGCACTGGAATCAAAAACTACCCTGATCTTGTTGGGTTTTTGAGGGTGGTAGACCCCAAACGTGGGGAGATACCAGCATTCTTCTCCTTGCTTAAGTGCGGGCGCTATCTCAGCGTGACCGCTGGAGAAAATCCCTCCCATAAACTCCACGTATTGCTGCTGCATGTGGGGTTTCTTTTGCATGCTCCGTTTGAGAGACAAAAAACGTCTGACTGCTAGCTCTCTATTGTTAGGCATTTTCCGGCGAGGCTCTCTGAAAGGAAGTGGGGCGACCCAGCTATTGTCATCGTCTCTGTACATGCTTTCATCCATGATCTCTAAAAAGAGTGTGTCATCTATGGAGGGAGCTGGCTCATTGTCGTTTTTGCTGCGGTTGAAAACTGATTGTCCCAGACTTTGCTCTGGAGTCTTAGTGTGCCTGTTACTGTGTGGCGTTTCCTTGAGCTGTCGGAAGTTATCACACTGTCCAAAAACCGTGGGGCGGCCATTTTCAAGAATAATTGTTTTGAATGAGTTGACTGTGGGCTTGTGGACCTTACCTACACACACCTCCCCGACTACGACCCACCCTAAATCTAGGCGCTGGGCGAAGGGCGCATGATGAGGGCCATTAACTTGTTCCCTTACTTTGTGAGCACGTAGAACATCTCGCCCTAGCAGTAGAAGTATTTCTGCCTTATGGTCTAGCTCTGGAATGTACTTTGCTATGGACCGAAGGTGTGGCTGGTGCCTTGCAGCGTTTGGTGTTGGGATCTCGCTTCTTTCGTTAGGAATGTCCTGACATTCAATGAGAGGAGGGAGTGGGATTACCACAGACCCATCTAAAGACTCAATGTGAAAGCCTTCAGCCATTTTCCCCCATGTTTCAACGAGGCCTGAACATGTTCTTAGGTCATAACTGACTAGTTTATGTTTAATGTTGAACAGATCAAAGAACTCTGGCCTGGCTAAGGATCGATTGCTCTGATCATCGAGTATGACGTAAGCCTTAACCGCACTGTCCTGGCGACCCTCTGGATACACCTTTGTGAGACATATTTTTGAACAAGAACGACCCCACTGACCTGGATCGCACACTTTGGTGCATGTTGTGGTTACTGTGATGCTGTCTGAGATGTCTTTTCCCTCCCCGCCATCCTCTTGAGCGGGAGCAGGAGCCTTGAAGGTTTGAGCAGGAGCCTTGAAGGTTTGAGGTGGAGGGCCAGGATGCATTACTGTTTCGTGGCTGGTACTTTCACAGTCGGAGCACTTTACTGTGGATTTGCAGTCCTTAGCGAGATGAGTGTCCGAGGCACAGCACTTAAAACAAATTCCTTTCTCTTTAAGGAAGGCCTTTCTTTCATCGAGCAGTTTGTTCCTGAATGTCCTGCATTTATTGAGTGGGTGGGGCTTATTGTGCAGCGGGCAGTTGCTTTTAAAGTCCTTGTTGGGGGGTGTAATATTAGTTTTATTTACGGAGATGGGTTTGGCGGAGCTAAAGTTTCTCAGGTTGGGTCTTTCTAAATGTAATTGGGTTTGGCTGTACTGTTGGTTAAAGCTTGGATCGTTACGTCTCTTAGCTTCTTTGCATATGAACTTGCAAAAGTAACTGAAAGGTGGAAAGCAGTCATGATGATCCTCTTTATATTGTGAACCTAGTGACATCCACTTCTCCTGAATTCCATATGGGAGTTTGTCCACAATTGGCCTGATTCCGCGTGACGTGTCAAGATAGAGAAGACCGGGCAGATACCCATCCTCTTTTGCTCCTTGAATCTCCTGTAACAGATCCCCAAGTTCCCTCAGTTTCACATTATCCTTTGCTGTCATTTTAGGAAAACTGTCCAATCTCTGGAAGAGCGATTTTTCGATGATTTCAGGAGCCGCATAACACTCTTGGAGTCTGTCCCATGCTTTCTGTAAAGCTACTGCAGGGTTATTGACATACACAGAGCGAATGCGTCTAATTTGACTACTTGACTCCTTTCCTAACCATTTTGTCATCAAGTCGAGCTCTTGTGTTGGCGTGAGGTGAACGTCTGCTGTAGCCCCAGTAAATGAGGAGAGCCACGCTCTAAAATTCTCTGGTTTGTCATCATATTGGTATAGACCTGAAGTGATGAGGTCACGACGTGCCATGTATTGTGCAAGTGGCTCTGCTTGGTGTGACGTACTTGCAGGTGAGTTGTTAGGGAGGCACGAAAGGGCTAGAGAATGGGTTGAGTGCGTTCTTTGTTTGTTTACTTTTTGGTTTAGTCTCACCTATAGGAGAGGAAGATGTGGTTTGGAAAGCCACGGATGTGTGTTGGTTGTGGCATTGGGGCCTAGTGTTAACAGGTGAAGGTTATGCGTCTGAAACGTCATTTTCAGTAGGATTCCATGTGATGAATGTGCCCTCTATTTCAACACTTTGGTTGCAGGTGGCTGGAGCGGGGCCATTTTGTTTATTCACATCCATTTGAGATTTCACATATTCACATGTTCTTTCTCTTTTAACTCTATCTGATTCTGATCTTCGGCTCTCATGCCCATCTCGTATTGCCTCTGCATCTTCTAGCACCTCTGCCTCAGCTACTGCGGCATCTGCTTCTCTTTGTAATTCTAGCACCTGTAGCTCTGTGTCGATTTTCACTTTTTCCAGTTTTAACTGTGCTTCCTTGCTTGCATATGAGGCTCTTACCCTAGCCGCTTCTGCTTTGGCTCGAGCACGAGCGGCACTGCTTGCAGATGAAGATGAAAGACCTGAAGCGTTTGTAGCAGATCTGTTGCTAGCTGCCATTTTGACCACGATGAAGCTCTGATTGCTGCCTTTTCACTGTTATGTTGCCAAATGAACACGTAGATAAACCACTGAAGAAGACCAGGACCACAAGGGACGTTTTTGCATTTTAATTTCTTCTCCAGATGGTGAAAACTGAAAGCATACACAACATGCTCTTAGAAAAACTGAGCTCTAGACAGACGAGAATAAAGTCATTCATCGGCGCTTTAAAATGCATTTCCCAACTAGACAATACAAAAATACATTACTTAAGATCCTTATAAACACATATAAAAACTTACGGCATTGCCTTGACAGTGCTTTAAAGGGAATGGCAACAGATCGCTGATCATACGATGCTGGATTTCGCCTGCTCTGTTTACCATGAAACCGAAACCGGAAGTTAGCGCGGCCGCACAGGAAATGAAATTGTCCGCTAATATTTTTTAAATAAAACTTACAAATAAACATGAAATACTTATAAGAAACTCTTAGAAATGCTTTTTAAACATTTAACTTATTTATTAAATTATTAACTGCCTTAAGAACAACACAGTTCCAGTGTATTTTGCAGTAAGCAAGCCAGTACCATGCCCGCTTGCCTGCACACAAATGCTGTTCCCACGGCGACCCAGATAAATCACATAAACGGTGTATTTTCTGGTATTCCGGCCACAGCCGATGGTGTTATGAGTGTATTGAAAATGCCCACAATCGGAAGTGCTCTCCTTCCTTCAAGAGCTACTGGATAAGGGCAGGACCCCATCCACGCTCAAAGTATATGTGGCGGCCATAGCAACGTTTGCAAAACCGGTGTCTGGCCAGTCGCTGGGGAAGAACGACTTAGTCGTGCGTTTCCTTAGGGGAGCTCGAAGGCTAAACCCTCCCAGGCCCCCTTCAGTCCCGACGTGGGACCTTTCCACGGTCCTGGAGGCCATGAAAGGCGCCCCGTTCGAGCCAATCCAGCTGGTGGACATGAAACACCTGTCGTTCAAAACAGTGTTTCTCATGGCTCTCGCTTCAGTGAAGCGCATAAGGGACTTACAGGCGCTTTCAGTAAGCGTGTCATGTATGGAGTTTGGGCCTAATGACTCGAAGGTCATTCTCAAACCTAAGCACAGGTATGTGCCGAAATCCCTCAATACACCGTTTAGGGCTCAGGTAATTTCCCTGTCCGCCCTTCCGGTTCTCAATGAGGAGGAGGACGCGAGTCTCCTTTGCCCCGTCAGGGCATTAAGAGCTTATGTGTCGCGCTCGTCTGTTTTCAGACAGACTGAGCAGCTTTTCGTTTTGTTTGGCG